GAGATAGAGAGAGACAGCTTGAGCAGGGGAGGGTCAGAGAGAGAGGGAGTCACAGACTGAAACAGGCTCCAGGCTCTGAGCTGGCAGTCAGCACAGAGCCCGACGCGGGGCTCGAACCCACGAACCGCGAGATCATGACCTAAGCAAAAGTCGGACGCTTAACTGACTAAGCCACCCAGGCGCCCCGAATTTTCAGTCTTTTGAATAACATTTAATTCTTCTCAATCTTTTCTCTTTAGCATGAATCAGATGCAACAGGAGAAAGAACTAACAGAAAACATTTTGAAAGTAGTGAGTATTGGCATCAGTTACACTTTTCTGGGGTGTATTCAGAGCATGTTCACATGCTTCCTCTGACCTTAGGTACGTGAGAGTTGGCAAGGTCTGGAAGCAGTACCGTGTAGGTTTTTATTGTTAGAACGTAGTTTGGTAACAGTTGTAAATCATATAGCTTTTCAGTGTAGTGCTTTACCACCAATTCTGTTGTCTAAATTTCATATTTTAGTAGGTAAAAGAAATCACAGTTACAGATGATACCTTCATATTTTTTCCAAAAATTTTATAATTGATGTGTATTATATTTTAAAATTACTTTTGCAGTCACAAAAATTTAGCAGTTATTATTTAAAAAAAACTTTTTTAAGTTAATTTTAGAGAGAAAGTATGAGCAGAGGAGGGGCAGAGAGAGGGAAACCGAGAATCCCAAGCAGGCTCTGTGCTATCAGTGCTGAGCCTCACACAGGGCTCGATCTCACAAACTCGGAAGACCATGACCTGAGCTGAAACCAGGAGTTGGACACCCAACCAACTGAGCCACCCAGGCACCCCTATAACAATTATTTTTTTAATCTAGTTAGTATAAAAGTGGAAACGTGGGAGTTTCCATCATTTAAAAATGATCTCTGTAATTCTTTACCACCTACAGTGCACCAGAGACACTATGTAAAGTCTAGGGGCTGGGAAATGAGAGAAACATTCTGTGTCTATATAAAATTAATATGCTGTAGTATTTTGAATGTTTATTATTTTTTGAGACATAAAATAGACACAGAGCAAGTGGAGGGGCAAAGAGGGGGAGGAGAGAGGCTCTGTTAGCACAGAGCCTGATGCTGGGCCTGAAGCATGACCATGATCATAATTTGAGCTGTAATCAAGAGTCTAAGATGCTTAACTGACTGAGCCACCCAGGCACCCCATTATTCTATAGTATTTTGAATGTGGGGGGAAAAAACCCTGCATTTTATTTTTGTTACTAGGGCCAACTAAAATGGTGGCTGACACACTGATGCATATAACATTTCTTGAATAAATCAGTGGAAGCAAATCTTTAGACTACTTTTAACTTTTCTGTAAAAAAATAAAAACCAAATGTATCTTTGTATTTTCTGATTTCTAAATAGGAACTTTTACTGTATTTTTTAAAATGTAACTATTTCAACAGATTTAATTGCACTCTTGCTGTGTTAAAAAAAAATCTTTTAATAGCTTAGTACACTCAAGTTGAGTATCCTGTATATGTATTTTGGTTTTCTGTGATATTTGTATTTTAATAATTTGTTTATTGAATTTTTGTAGCTAAAAGAGCAAGCTTCTGATTCTATTTTGGTACTAGAGGCAGCCCTTAAATTAGACAAGGATCTTTATGTCCACACGATGAGAACGCTAGATTTATTGGCAATGGAGCCAGGCATGGTAAATGGAGAAGCAGAGAGTTCTACTGCTGGATTGAAAATCAGAACTGAGGAGATGCAGTGCCAGGTACTTATTTCAGTATTCAATCAGTGGTGGCAAAGTTTTGGAAAATCTTACATGAGATCATTCTAATATTTTAGAATTTCTCCCTTTGTCTTTTTGATTTTGACTTAAGATGCTATTAAAATTTTGACACCTAATTAATTTGTAAATTTTATGGCTTCACTTGAAATTTTTCTAAAAGAAATGGAAGGGAAATTTCATTTGAGTTATGGTCTCTGAAATAGTTTCCCAGTTGTGTTTAGGAGACAGCCTTTAAATACAGAGACTGCAATAAGTATGCAATTGATTTTACAGTTCATTCATATTGTTAGATAATTACACCAAAAAAAAGCCCAAACCCGAACCCCAAACCAAATATTCTGCTAGGCTTTGAAAAATGTTGGCCCCTAGAGAAAATAGTTTTTCAGGGATCTTCATGTAAGGTTGTTCTGTAACTCTGGGCTCTAGTTTCTTTGACAGCTTTCAGTTGATATTGTGAGATCTGTGTATTCGTGTTGTCTTTTTCACTGCTGGATTATAAACTCTGAGATCTTTTTTATTTTTAATGTGTATTTTGCATCTTCCTCACTTTCTAGCAGAGAACGTTAGATATAACAAATGTTAAAATATTCAAAAGCTTTGTAAAGAGGGCCACGAGGATAGTGAGTTTTATGTTCTGTATTCTCTGTGGGAATTGGCATGTCGTCTATTGTTTTTAAAGTTTGGCAGTTCTTTTTTTAAGTAAATTAGTTAAAATAAATTCTGCCCCCAGAATGGGGCTTGAGCTCACAACCCTGAGATCAAGAGTCACGTGCTCTATCAACTAAGGCAGCTAAGCACCCCTTGCATGATTTCTTTTTTTTTTTCTTTTTAAAGTATATTTATTTCTTTTGAGTGAGAGCGCATGTGCAGGAGAGGGGCAGAGAGGGAGAGAAAGAATCCAGGCAGCTCTGCGCTGACAGCAGGGAGCCTGTTGTAGGGCTCAATTCCAAGAACCGTGAGATCATGACATGAGCTGAAATCAAGAGTAGGACACTTAACAGACTGAGCAGCCCCGGCACCCATTGCATGATTTCTTCAGTCACTGTTTCCCATTCCTCAGAAGGGCAGAAGTCGCTATGACCACATGTTGGGAGGTGCCTTTTCAGATAAGCTGGTTGTAGAATTGAAGGTAATCATTTTTTCAGTGCCTGCGGAGATGGCAGTCACAGTTGGAATAGGAGTAATGAAGATTGACAATTGGGAACATCTTTAAATAGTCAATGAAACTTCCATATAAGAGGACTTACGGTACTATATTATCTTATAATCACTGAAAGTCTGTTTAAAAACAATTGGTTATATTTCTGATTTTCATGATCTAGTGGGTGATGCAATCTGCAAAACAAAACAGCCCTTAATAAGACATCTCAGTGTGTTAGGGAAACTGTCAAATATTTTCTTAATTATACAGCTGAGTCCTAATTCTGTGCCTTGAGAGGCAAATTAGCAGCAATACTCATTTCCCAGCACAATATTTAAAGCGTATTCTTAACTAAAACTTACCTGACTCGAAAGGAAAATCTTTAAATTCTTTTCCTAGTAAAACCAAAAATATTTACTCTTCTTCAGGGCAACTTTATTATCAGGCTTTTTGTTTGTTTTTAATTGACTACCTCTTAATTCTAGAATTTAAGCTTGTTTTACGTATGTATGTGGGACTCAAACTCATGACCCTGAGATCAGGAGTTGCATGCTCTATGGAGCCAGCCAGACATTCCTAGAATTTAAACTTGTTTTAGTGGGGGTGCTTAGCTGGCTCAGTTGGTAAAGCTTTTCACTCTTGATCTCAGAGTTGGAGCCCCACTTTGGGTATAGAGATTTCTTAAAAAAGAAATTCTTAAAAAATAAAAAACCTTGTTTTAATGTTATAGTGATACTTGAAAATACCTTTTTGGTATCTTGTACTCTGTCTTTGCCTAGAAAGGGGAATTACATGTAACTATAATGTGTTTATGTATGTGTGTGCATGTGTGTGCTTGTGTGTATGTGTATAAATATATCCTTTTTCTTTCTTTTTTTAAGCTTCTTAAGCATTCTTTGCTCAAGATGGGAGGAAGCATTCTAGAGTGAAAATCAGCTACACATTTAATGTGGACTAAATAGTAGGAAGCAGTGTCCTAGAGGCTGAGAATTCATCTAGATTAGCTCAAGAGGACAGAATATGTGTATATAGTACATATCAGTAAAGAGTAGTTCTGTAATGTTTATCAGAGTGTTAGAGCTTAGGAGTTTGGAGGAGGAATAAGTATCTGTTGGCTAAGATTGGTTTGATGTAGATGGAAATAAAGATGTGGAATGAAGCTTATTTCTAGGATCTGATATGAATTGGGAATTGAGAAGATTGGTGTGGTTGAAATAGAGAATAGAGAGTTTCGAAGAGAGGAGTTAGTCCAGATTCTGAGATTGTTAAAGAGCAGCCCAAAGGGGTTTGAACTTTCTCCTACTTGGGGGGATAATTTGAAGACTTTTTATGAAAATCCGATTTGTCAGCCCTGTGTAGAATAAAGTTTTGAGGCAGGATATTAGGAGCCTTAGGGATCTGGATTTGAGCCTGGGCTCTGCCAGTACTTAGTTATATGCCTTTAAGCAGACATTATTAATTCTGAGCCTTATTCATGTACATAAAATGTTCAAGTTGAATTAAACAGTCGAGCCTTTGAGTTCTGCATTTGGTGAATCTAGGCATCGAATGAAGGTTCTTGAAGAAATCTACAAATATATATATTCAAGTAGGCTCCATGCTCACGACCCTGAGATCAAGAGTTGCATGCCCTATCAACTGAGCCATCCAGCTGCCCCAGGAATTCGCAAGTTCTATGAGTACTTTTTTAGTTGTCTTTTTCTATCCTTTCATTGTCATTAATTCAGATCTTTCTCAGTATTCATTCTGGCCAGTCACCTACTCTTCCCCACTTTGAAAGAAGTGTAGATGAATAGAGAATCCATCATGATGGTGAGTAGCAGTAACAGTGACGGCAAAATCTAGTTGACATGAGCAGCCAGAGCAAGAGTATAGCTGCGCTCTTGGTGTTAGTGCTGGTGAATTCAGGTGAGGAGAGCTTCGGAGTCTAGTGTTGAGATGATGACTGTGCTCACTGGGTCAGTTTTGGCTCTCTTCTTGGCTCTTTGCCTCCCTTGCCCTTTTGTTTTCAAAGGCCAATTCTTTGGCCATGTAATTCTGCAGGCCACCTGAAATCTTAACATTTAAATCTTTTTTCTCTTTAAATCAGTCCACTGGATTCTGTTGCTTCTGACTAAGAATATTGACTATTTCATTGCTCGCTGAAATAAGGAGTTTTTTTCCCTATACATGTACTTGTGTTTTGCTGAGATAAACATAATTTTGAGTTTTGTCAGCTCTTCAGTTCATGAAAAATTACTAAGCACATTGGTATTCATTACCATTTTAGGTGTGTTATGATTTGGGTGCAGCATACTTCCAGCAAGGCTCTACAAATGCAGCTGTTTATGAAAATGCCAGAGAAAAATTTTTTAGAACCAAAGAACTAATTGCAGAGGTAAATACAGTGATAACAGGCACATCATATTCAGTCCTTAAAAAGTCTAAATATGTTTTTGGGTTTAATTTTTCTGATTATTAAAAAAACAAGTATTCATTGTACATTTGGTAAGTTTTAGAAAATACTAAAAGCATTTTGAAAACCTGTATTACAACTGCCTAGAAATTACCCTTTTTGCCATATAAGCTTATTTTCCTCCAGGTTTCATTCTTTGTTTTTATACAATTAAGGTTATATTAACTATTAACTATATATACTATATTATCATGCCTAAATCTTTGAATAGACGTTTAAAGATCTTCTGTGTAGTTGTGCTGTAATTTACTTCATTTCTCTGTTTGGACATTTATGTTTACTGTTTTTATTGATCATAAAGCTATAATCTTTCTATCTCCAAGCATAAAGTTTGTTTTTGGTTTTTAGATACTTGCAAGTTAAATCCCTACAAGTAGAATCATCATGTCAGTGGTTATTAATTTTGTACAGGCTGTGAAACCTAAAACTAAATTGCTTTCCAGGTACTCGGATCAGCAATGAGGGTTTTTTGTTGTTTTTTTTCCTCCAGTTGCTAATTTGGTGGGTGAAATACACTAACTTTAAAACATTTGAATTTCCTTAATTCCTAGTAAGGGTGAACTTTTCATATGTTTATCACTTGCATTTTTCTTCTTATGATTCTGACAAGTGAATTTAAAAATCTATAACTAGGTTTTTGTTTGGTGCCTAGAAAAATTCCCACGTCAGTCTTTCCTCATCAGAGAAGTTGATTAAATGCTCAAGAGATTTGCTTTAAATCTGTTCTAGATCTTTTGGGAATCCCCATTTTACTTTGTCTAGGCAGCTCATCAGATTTGCTCTCTTCTTATGTATTTTTAAATATTTTAAGCTTGTTTTAAACAGTGTTCACTCTTTGATAATTGTCATACCTACTTAGAGTGATGCTGATGTTTACCTTTTGTATGTTGGCCTGAAAACTCTCAACCAGGAGTCGCCAAGTTTCTGGTAAAGGACCAAATAGTAGGTATTTTAGGCTTTGTGCACTACATGCAGTTTATGTTGCATATTGTCATTTATTGCTGTTTCCCCTTTACAACCTTAAGTATGATTCTCAGCTCAAAGGCTGTATAAAAATAGGCCACAGGCTAAATGCCTGTGAGCAATAGTTTGCTGACCCTTGCTCTAAACTTTAACCTTTTCATTTTTTTATGGTTCTTCCAGGCCTGAATTTTCCATTACATTTTCTTGTACTGTTAAAATGCATTGAATGGGTACTCTACTGTTTCTGTTACATCGATGGATAATGATGTATACCTCTTACTTTACAGATAGGTTCATTATCTCTTCATTGTACCATAGATGAGAAGCGGTTAGCAGGCTATTGTCAAGCATGTGATGTTCTTGTACCTTCTTCTGATAGTACATCTCAACAGTTGACGCCATATAGTCAAGTCCATATTTGCTTGAGATCTGGCAGCTATCAGGTAAGATATCTGATGGGGATGTAATAGGGTAATTGGAAAGCTTTGGAAGCCAGACAGAGCTCATTTTAGATTCTGGCGTCACCATTTACAAGTCATATGATTTGGGGCAAGTAAAACTGTCAGATTGGTCTATAAAATGCTAATAAGTACCCCATTTCAAAGGTTCCTAATGAGAATCAAGTGAGAAGTTATAAAATCTAAGTAGCGCATGGTAAAGAGATTGATTCATTGTTGATAATTTTTCTTGAAGGTATAGAATTTGCCTGTTAAGTAAATTCTTCAAGAAACTGTAAGCAGGACTTTTAATTTTTAAAATTATAGGTAAAGAATTGTTATTTTTCTGAACCTTAAGTCTGGTGTTTGGCTTGAAATTGTGGCTTTTGTAGCCCAGCCTTTTTAGCCACTGCAATATTAAGACTGAGGGTAAAGGTGAGCAAAGTGCTATTTGTAGGTTTGGATGCTCTATTCTAGAGCCTGCTTTACCAATGGGCCTGGTTATCATCTTTATTTTACCCATAGAAATGGCTTAAATTAGTCTGTTTATTGCCTCTTGATATATATATATTTATATATATATATATATATATATAAATATATATATTTAGTTTCGTAATAAAAATCACTGGGAATTAGAAACTACTTTTGAAGAGCGCCTGGGTGGCTCAGTGAGTTAAGCGTCCGTGACTTCCGCTCAGGTCACAATCTCACGGTTCGTTAGTTTGAGCTCCACATCGGGCTCTGTGCTGACAGCTCAGAGGCTGGAGCCTGTTTTGGATTCTGTGTGTGTCTCTCTCTCTGCCTCTCCCCTGCTCACACTCTGTCTCTCTCTATCAAAAATCATAAACGATAAAAAAAAAATTGTACTTTTGAAATCTTTATCAGAAAGCCTTCGTGCTAGAAAGTGAATAGTGCCTTCATGTTGCTTCACTCCAAAGTAGCAGTCATGAAATGACAAAGCTACAGCCTTTCTTTCTTTACTTTTAAGGAAAAAAGTTTTTATTTATTTTGAGAGAGGGTGTTAGTTGGGGTGGGGCAAAGACAGAGGGACAATCTCAAGCAGACTCTGTGCCAGCCCAGAGCCCATGCAGGGCTTGAATTCATGAAACCATGAGATCATGACCTGAGCCGCAATCAAAAGTGGGGTACTTAATCAACTGAGCCACCCAGGCACCCTGTTTTTAAAAGTATTTTTTATTTATTTTTGAGAGAGAGTAGGCGAGGTGCAGAGACGTGGATAGAGGATCTGAAGCAGGGCTAGAACTCACAAACCATGAGATCATTACCTGAGCAGAAGTCAGATGCTTAACTGAGTCACCCAGGCGTTCCTTAGTATTTTGAAAAGTTTGTTGTAAGAACTTATGTTTAAAGTGGGTGAGAAGAATTTTTTAAGCTTCTAATAACATACCTGAATTACATCTTTATTTAAAATACTTATTTTGGGGGGAGAGAGAGGGATAACAAGTTGGGGAGCGGCAGAGAGAGGGAGACACAGAATGCAAAGCAGGCTCCAGGCTCAGCACAGAACTCAATGTGGGCTCCAACTCAAGAACTGTGAGATCATGATCTGAGCTGTAGTCGGATGTTTAACCAACTGAACCACCCAGATGCCCCCTGAATTTCCTCTTATTGATGGATTCTTCACCTCCTTTTTGGTCCATGGTCTTCAATTTTAAAAGGTAGAGTTAGGGGGCAGGTGGGATTTTTACTCTCAATCTTAATTTTAAAATTTTATTTTATTTATTTATTTTTTAATGTTTTTTATTTATTTCTAGGAGAGAGAGAGACAACGTGAGCAGGGGAGGGTCAGAGAGAGAGGGAGTCACAGACTGAAACAGGCTCCAGGCTCTGAGCTGGCAGTCAGCACAGAGCCCGACGCGGGGCTCGAACCCACGAACCGCGAGATCATGACCTGAGCGAAAGTCGGACGCCTAACCGACTAAGCCACCCGGGCGCCCCAATTTTAAAATTTTAGAAAAGACTTGTAGCAAGCTATGTTCATGATTTTCTTCAATATATATTTTACATTATAGAAAGACTTTTTTTTTTTCTTTTTGGAAAGACTTTTAAAGTAAACAAGCTTTGGAGCACCTGGGTGGCTCAGTCTGTTAAGCGTTTGACTTCAGCTCAGGTCATGATCTCGTGGCCCATGAGTTCAAGCCCTGCATTGGGCCTTGTGCTGACAGCTCAGAGCCTGGAGCCTGCTTCGGACTCTGTGTCTCTGCCCCTCCCCTGCTTGTATTCTGTCTCTGTCTCAAAAATAAACAAACATTAAGAAAATAAAATCATAGAGGGGAAAAGTAAAGCAGCATAGCATAATGGTGAAAGGAACTCAGGCTGCCACCTTCTGACGTTGGGCAGATTTCTCACCTCCCTTGCCTCAGTTTTCTCAATGTGGGATGTTCTGCTGGGCAGCACTAATTCTAAAGAATTTAGAGCGGGGCGCCTGGGTGGCTCAGTAGGTTCAGCATCTGACTTCAGCTGAGGTCCTGATCTCACAGTCCGTGAGTTCGAGCCCCACGTCAGGATCTGTGCTGACAGCTAGCTCAGAGCCTGGAGCCTGTCTTCAGAGTCTGTCTCCCTCTCTCTCTGAACCTCCCCTACTCACTCTGTCTCTTTTTATCACAAATAAATAAAAACATTTAAAAAAATTTAATAAAGTAAACAAGCTTTGCCATGAGTTTTGAATTGGATTAAATTTTATGTCTGTATTCTAGGATGTAGTAAAGATTTTTATTGAAGATAATTTAACCTTCAGTTTACCTGTCCAGTTCCGGCAGTCAGTACTAAGGGAACTCTTTCAGAAAGCTCAACAGGGGTAAGTAAGTAAATTGAATTACTTTCTTAGACTTGAATAAAAGAGCAAATGCATTTTGGGTTTATAAAAATAGACCTCCAATTACCTGTAAGTCTGTGACGGTACTTTCATCTTTGTTTGTATATGGGAAATTAACATAGCCAGAAGAGCTACTTTAATGTTCATCTGATCCATTCTACAAGCACTGGGGGGACAAAAATTAGAATTTGATTCTATTACCTAATCTGTAACTAAATTGTCCCTTGAACGATTAAAAACTTTGCTGTTCTGTGCTCCCCTGCCCTTGAATTATGCCTGCATAACCTAAAATCTTACCTCTCAAGAATAAATAACTCATTCTCGTGAATTTAGTTCTGTGAAATGTATCTTACTTTTTTTTTAATTAAAAAGAATGTATTAGTAGATCTACTTTTGTATTCTACAGAAATGAAGCTCTAGAGGAAATCTGTTTTAAAGTCTGTGCCTGTAACACAGTCCGTGATATATTGGAAGGTAGAACGATTAGTGTTCAATTTAACCAGCTATTTCTTAGACCTAATAAAGAGAAAATAGACTTTCTTCTTGAGGTAAGACATTTTTTCCCTTTTTGATTCATAATTTTGCTGTAAGCTTACCAGTGACCTCTTAGTTGTCAAATCCGGTGCCCTCTTTTCTGTCTTCATTTGACTATAATAATCGATACTGCTGACAGACTACGCTCTCCCACCTTCTCTTCTGCCAGAGCTCTTTGCTTGGTCTCTGTTACTGCATTTTCCTTTGTCCTTCATTGAGACCTCTTTTGTTCTTCTTTTAGTGTTTCTATTTATAGTAGTTTCGGTTGTGGCTCACTTATCTTCTCCTATCCTTTTTATTCGCATTTAAAGCTTCAGTCATCTGTTGATTCAACATTCCCAAATTATAATTCTGACCTCTCCTGTGAGTTCCAGAATCTGTGTTTGTGTTGGGTTTTTCTATGTCTATCTTTAACTGTCTTAATATAAGAGATATTGAGAGAAATACGTAAAGCATAATTGATACCATTTAGTTTCAAAAATACTACATTGCCAACATTCTATAACTCCTTTTTTTTCTTTTTAAGATTTTATTTTTACGTAATCTCTAAACCCAACGTAGGAGCTCAAATTTACAACCGTGAGACCGAGAGGCACATGTTCTGCTGACCAAGCCAGCCAGGAAGCCCTCTGGAAGTCCTTTTTCTGCTCTTTACCAGACCCTCCATCTCCCCTTGAAAAAGCCCCTGTCCTGCCTTTTGTGATCATCATTTCCTTGCTTTTCTTTGTACTTGTATCACCTTTGCATCCTTAAGGGATATTCTTTAATTTTGAACTTTGTATAAAAACATACAAATGTATTTCTTAATTTTCCTTCACTAAACAGGTTTATGAGCTTTTTTCCAAGTTGAATGCATTTATAGTTGTTTTTTTCATTGTTGTGTTACAACATGACTGTCCTGCAATTTATCCATTCTTCTGATGACATGTTGTTTACATAATGTAGATGGCTATTTTGTTGGAACATTATTATATGTATATCTTGGTGCACACATGTATCAGATGCCTAGAGAAAATCTATCTCTAACATTACTTTGTAATATCAGTGTTTTTGTTGCTAGTTTCCATGAGAGCTCTCATTGGTCACCATCATTTGGTATTGTCGGATTTACTTATGAGGTCATTGTATAATGATTTACTATTGAGATTTCAAATTCCATTTCTCTTATTGCCAGGCAGCGTTTCTTTTACTTTTTGCTCATAATGGAAGTGGAACATCTCGTTTTTCTATTGGATTGTCTGTTTTTGTTTTTGTCTTTTTTTGGTACAAGTTCTTCATATATTTTGTCCTTTACTAATTTTAAGTATTGCAGATATCTTCTCTTGAGTTTGACTTCTCTTTTAACTTTCTTTATATTGTTTTAAAAGCTCTTAATTTTAGCATAATGAAATTTATCAGTCTTTTCCATAAAGGAAAAGATTAGTGAAGTCTCTCTTGTTTAGGGAAACTTCTCCTATCCTGTGGTCATGAAGATGGTCTTATATCTTCTAAAAGCTTTATAGCTTAGCCTTCCTTTCACATTTAGGTCTTTAATCCACTTACAGTTAGTTGATTTCTGTGTGTCATGTGAAGTAGCTGGTCTGGTGTCACTTTTTCATCTCCTAGGACTATCCGTTTTCTTCTAGTACAATTTTTTTTTTAATTTTTAAAGGTTTTTTTTTTTTTTCTTTTTTGAGAGAGAGCATGCACCTACATGGGTGAGGGCCATAGAGGGAGAGAATTCATCCCAAGCAGGCCCCGCACGGTCCTCACACATCACATGCAAGGCTTGATCTCCTACACCTGAGCCAAAATCAAGTCAGATGTGTAACCAGTTGAGCCACCCACCCAGTTGCCCCTCCGCTACCAGTTTTTTGGAAGTGCTTACCTCTGTGGTCTGTTGAGTGTCCATACATGTGTGGGCCTGTTACTGGGCTCTGTTCTGTAGCACTTTTCTGTTTGTCCACAGGTCAGTATCCCTATGTCATGATTACATTTAAACACAAGCCTTGTTTTTTAAAGTTGTATTGGCTTATGTTTATCCTTTGCATTTTCTTTGCATAGACTCAGATTGTCAAGTTCTGCAAATAAGCCTTTTGGGTTTTTGCTTGAAGCTGCATTATGTTTAAAAACCAGTTTGAGAAAAATTAATATCTTCATACTGGAATTCTAATCTTTGAATTAGTCCAGTTCTTGATTTATTTACACATTGTTTGATGTCCTTTGGAGCTTTATAATTTTTTACATAGAAGTCTTTTTTGTTTATGAACTTGAAAATGAAAGTAGTTTATGCATTGGCATAGAGGTACAATTGAACTTTGTATAATTTTGCTTCCAATTACTTTGCTAAACTTTTTTTTTTTTTTTTCAAGTTTATTTTTGAGAGTGAGTAAGAGCACAAGCAAGGGAGGGGCAGAAAGGTAGCCCATTTTTCCTGATTAGTTTTAAGAGGTTGTTTTATAAGAATTTGTCCACTTAAGGCAAACCATAAGAGACTCTTAAATTCAGAGAACAAACTGAGGGTTGATAGGGGATGGGGAAAAGGGGAAAATGGGTGATGGGTAGTGAGGAGTGCACTTGTTGGGATGAGCACTAGGTGTTGTATGTAAGTGATGAACCATAGGAATCTACCCCAGAAACCAAGAACACACTTTATACACTGTATGTTATGACAGTAAGTTATATTTAAAAAAATAAAATCAGAAGAGAAAAAAACTGATACAAAAATTTGTCTATTTAATCTAAATATTTAAGTTTATTAAGTTTTTTAAATTTAAATGATCACAGCATTCATTAAAGATGCCCTATTTCATGTTTTAATTACTTAAGAATTGAACTTAATTAACATATTTGTTCTATTAAAAGTTAACACCTATTCCCTGTGTTTCACGACATGTTTACAGTGCATCACTATGTATGAATAAACTGTTAAGAAAGCATATTTGAGTATTACTTATCATTAATATTTATAGTGTGGAGCAAAATTATTACAGTGTAAATATTTTATACATCAAGATGCTCTGATGTGATATATGCTGTTAGGGTAATCTGTTTATTTGAGTATAGTATTTTTACAATACTCTTTCTGAGCATGGTACTTTAAAAATTACTATTTTTTTTTTACCTTTTAATTACAGTTTCATTGAGGTATAATTCACATATCCTACTATTCATCCATTTAAAGTGTACAATCCGGGCCTAGGTAGCTTAGTCAGTTCACTTTCTGACTTTGGCTCAGGTCATGATCTTGTGGTTTGTGAGTTTGAGCCCTGCTTGGGGCTCTGTGTTGAAAACTCAAGAGTCTGGAGCCTGCTTTGGATCTGTGTCTCCCTCTCTCTCTGACCCTCCCCTACCCATGCTGTCTCTCAGAAATAAAAACATTAAAAAAATTTTTTTTTGAATTTAAAAAAGTTAAAAGATGTTTTTAAAATTATACTATCCAGCGATGTTTTAGTATGTGCCTAGATTTGTATAGCCACCACATCAGTCAGTTTTAGAACATTTTCATCCTCCTCTTCTACCTCACACTAAAATCTCTGATCTATTAGCAGTCATCCCTCATTTCCTCCAGTCCCCATAGCCTCAGGCAACTACTGATCCACTTTTGTCTCTAGATTTGCCTGCTGCCTATGATGGACATTTCATATAAGCAAAATAGGTGGTCTTTTTTTTTTTTTTCTTCTTTCTGGTTCTTTACTAAATGTTTTCAAGGTTCATCCATGTTATAGTATGTATCAGTGCTTCATTTTTTTTTTTTAAATATTTATTTCTAGGAGAGAGAGACAGCGTGAGCAGGGGAGGGTCAGAGAGAGAGAGAGAAACAGACTCTGAAATAGGCTCCAGGCTCTGAGCCTGGCAGTCAGCACAGAGCCCGACGCGGGGCTCAAACCCACGAACTGCGAGATCATGACCTAAGCAAAAGTCAGACGCTTAACTGACTAAGCCACCCAGGCGCCCCAGTGCTTCATTTTTTTATGGCTGAGTAACAATTATTAAATGGATATACTATTCATTTTTGTTTTTGTTTTCTTAAAAAATTTTTAAAATATTTTTTTATTTATTTGTGAGAGAGAATGAGCAGGGGAGAGTTAGAGAGAGAGGGAGACACAGAATCCAAAGCAGGCTCCAGGCTCTGAGCTGTCAGCACAAAGCCCAACGCGGGGCTCGAACCCACGAACTGTGAGATTATGACCTGAGCCAAAGTCGGACGCTTAACCGACTGAGCCACCCAGGTGTCCCACAGTATTGTTCATTTTGTATGTCAATCAGTTGATGGACTTGAGGGTTATTTCCACTTCTTGGCTATTACGTATGAATAATGCTGCTGTGAATAGTCTATGATTATTTTTTTTTATATTAACGTATTAGAGACTATTTGACAATTTCCTTAGGTTAGAGACTTTGATACTGATTGCTTTATTTTGGCTTCTTGTAAGCTATAGGAGAAATCCTAATCTGATGAATAAACTCAGAATATTATGAGACTATTATTTGTAGATAACTAATTTCCATAACGTGTTTGTTCTTTCATTTCACTGATTAGTTTTAAAACCTTGGTTACTTTCCTAAACATTGGTTCTATATATTTTAGCTGTTACTGATCATTTAGCTCTAAGATGAATATCCTCTCTTTTGACTGGAGCTACTGCAGAGTCCATCACCTCATATAATTGGTTAGCATACTTTATACATTCTGGGAGAACGCTATACCAGGCTAGGTAGCGGCTTCTTTATTTCATATAAATGACTGCAGTTGTTGAAATGATCACATTCTACTCCCTCTCCCCATGATGATTCTTACTCAGTCTCATCTTTTAAATTACTTAACCAAATCTGTGATTGATATGTGGCTGAAGAAGGAATATTTGGTTGTTTTTAAATCTAAGCTTTTCTAACTATAAGTGTACATTTTAAAAAGTGCCAGTATTCAAATAAAAATTACTTACATTCCTAGGTATGTTCAAGATCAATAAATTTAGAAAAAGCTTCAGATTCTTTGAAAGGAAACATGGCTGCTTTTCTAAAGTAAGTGCCCTTTTCTCTTTAACTTTGAATTTAGTTTTGTGAGAAAAATAGCTTTTTTTTATTTTTTGTATTTATCCTGCATGTCTTATAAACAGGCAGTCATTTGAGAGCTAGTTAAGTTCAGATTTGTATAGAGACACAAAATTTAGAATTCTTCTAGTTACTCTTTTTGTATATTGTGACATTGACATCACAGTTTTAGGACCAAAATATTTTTAAATCTATTTCAGATATTATATAGTTTATAAAATTGTAGCTTGTTAAATGGTTTATTAATAAAGATTGGTTAATATGATTGTTTTTCCCAAACTAAATTACGAACTTTCTTTGTTTTTACACTGTTTTTTACTGATATAGGAATGTGTGTCTGGGGTTGGAAGATCTGCAGTATGTTTTCATGATTTCTTCACATGAGCTTTTCATTACATTGTTGAAAGATGAAGAACGAAAGCTACTGGTTGATCAAATGAGGAAGAGATCCCCTAGAGTAAATCTGTGTATTAAGCCTGTAACTTCATTTTATGATATCCCAGGTTAGGTCTTTAGTCTGCTAGTGAAAATGTTGGCACACTGCATTTCTGTTATATTCACCCTTCAGTGTATTTGAAGATGCCTTCTCATCTGTTTTAGTTTATATTTATGTCCGTAATTAATTTGAAATTTACCAGTCCTCTGTAGTCCTATTTCTCTCCAAGCAGTTAGGTGCTGGGATGCTGCTGAGTTTGTGGTTAATGGAGATAGAGGCATAGATACACAAAAGATTTTAATTGGTAAAAATAGACCAAGGTTCTATTGCTAAATACATTCTTGGAGATAAAATGAGAGCTGGGAGGGGCATCTGGATGTCTCAGTTGGTTAAGCATCTGACTTCGGCTCAGGTCATGGCCTCACAGTGTGTGAGTTCAAGCCCCTTGTCAGGCTCTGTGCTGACAGCTCAGCCTGGAGCCTGCTTCAGATTCTGTGTCTTTCTCCCTCTCTCTGCCCCTTCCCCGCTCACATTGTCTGTCTCTCTCCCTCAAAAATAAAAATTTAAAAATGTTTTTTCAATAATTTAAAAAAAAGAGCTGGGAGGGGAGTCCCCAGACTCAAAAAACATACATGCTTTCATGCATTTCAGCCTACATCACTGTGGTACTGTCTGCTGGCTAAGCATTCAACTTGGGCAATGTTGCCATTTTTTATCTTATTTTTTTGATGATTTTTTCCCCATTTTTGCTTTTATAAATAGAAGTAGAAAACATAGTGCTGTTCATTAATAAGAAACGTAAGCTTTAGAGCATAATATAAATGAGACAGAATTCAGTTTAACAAAACAATTGTAGCTGCTTTGAACCTCACTATGTTTAAAATTTTTTAAAAATTTTTTATTTATTTTTGAGAGACAGCGCAAGCAGGGGAGGGGCAGAGAGAGAGGGAGATACAGAATCCGAAGATAGGCTCCAGGCTCTGAGTTAGCTGTTAGCACAGAGCCCAACGTGGGGCTCAAACCCACGAACCATGAGATCATGATCTGAGCCGAAGTCAGATGCTTAAGTGACTGAGCCACCCAGGCTCCCCGAACCTCACTATGTTTAAACTTGTTGACCAATTGTAAAAGAAAATGACATTAACACCTAAAATGCTGGGAATAGGTTAATGAAGGCTGTATCTGAAAATTGAGTAGTAATTAGGGATTTTAAGGATCTTTTTAGTTCTCTAGGATGGCAGTCCCTCCTCCTTTTCTTCCTCTTCCTTTAAAAAATATTTTGAATATTTTTTGAAATTTTTTGAATGTTTATTTTTAATTTTTAAATGTTTTGTTTATTTGGGGGAGGGGCAGTGTGAGCAGAGGAGGGTCAAAGAGAGGGAGTACAGAGTCCAAAGCAGGCTCCAGGCCCTGAGCTAGCTGTCAGCACAGAGCCCGACGCGGGGCTCGAACCCACGAACTATGAGATCATGACCTGAGCCAAAGTCGGACACTTAACTAACTGAGCCACCCAGGTGCCCCTGAATGTTTATTTTTGAGAGAGAGAGAGAGAGAGAGAGAGATACACAGAATTTGAAGCAGGCTTCAGGCTTTGAGCTGTCAACTGAGAGAGGGGGACAATGTATATTAAAATAAAAATATATTTGTACATACTTTTATTAACACATTATGTTTGAAGGTAGGAGACTGTCTACATAAGTGAATATTTCCATATAGCCCACCTTATTCTTTCCATGAGCCAGTTACTGATTTTTTTTTTTTTAAGTTTATTTATTTATTTTGAAAGAGAGAGTCTGAGTGAGCAGGGGAGGGGGAGAGAGAATCCCAAGCAGGTCCTGCTCTGTCAGCATGAAGCCCGATGCATGGCTTGATGCCACAACCCTGGGGTCATGACCTGAGCTGAAATCAAGAATCAGATGCTTAACCAACTGTTTCATCTTTATTAAATGCAGACCTAATACAAATTGTTAGATTTTTTTATGTGAGGATAAAATTAATATATAATTTACAGAATATATATTGAGTGAATGAGTTCTCAAGATGAGAGTGGTATTTCACTTAATACTTAACACAGTTTCAACAATTTATTCTCATATTTGTAGGATTCCTTTGAATTAAGTCATTATTGAAACAAATCTTTTCTTAGCCTCAGCAAGTGTCAACATTGGCCAGTTGGAGCATCAGCTGATATTGTCAGTGGATCCCTGGAGGATTCGACAGATTTTAATTGAATTACATGGTATGACGTCAGAGCGCCAATTCTGGACAGTGTCTAACAAGGTTAGAAACCCTTTGTCAAGAACAGATAAGAAAGTTATTTTTTTCTTGTACTTTAACAGAAGAGTTATTCCCTGACCTTCTTGAGAATAAAGACCCCCATTTGTCAACAATATTAGGACCTTCATGTGACAATAGTTACACTTTGAACATCCATTGTTGGAGAAAATTCAAAATGTCAAAAAGGATACTTTTAAATCTGTAACTTCTAAAAATACGTTTATGTTCTATTTATTGTCATAGCGTCTCCATATATTTTAAGTACACTTCTAAGTGTATGTATGAGGTATATTTATGTAGTCTGTAGCTGCTACTTCCTGTGTGCTTGAGAAATATTTTTGTACCCTCTTGAAGTCTAAAGCCTACAGGTTGTAACCAATTTATTAAAACTTCCTTATAGAACATTTTTGGCTTTACATGTTTACTTAAAAATGCCCAGCTAATGTATTTACCTGTTTTTGAAGTTATTTATTTAAAACCTTTCCTGCATGCCAAGTGCAGATGAAGATAGCTTTTTGAACACCGTTTCAGTGGTGCATAGCTAGAGCTACAGGGAAAGAGCCCGTGTATGCAGGAGAAAGAAGTATGGTGGTACTTCTAACTTACTGCGTACTGCTTTGCTGAAAATGTAGTAAAAAAGCATCCAGACGTTCGTGTATATTTTATGAGATTTGAACATATAAGTGCAGTGAAATGAAAAATTTCTCTGAACATTAGTGTTGACCTGATCATTAGTGCTCATTTTATAGGTGAAGTATTATAGCATAGTAATTAAGAGAGGGAGTTCTGATCTGAATGCCTGAGTTTGAATCCCAGCCTCTATATTTATTAGCTGTATAATCCATCTTGGGCAAGTTATTTGACATCTGTGCTTCACTTTTCTTATCTGTAAAATGAGGATAATAGTACCTAATTCATAGTATTGTGGTGAGGATCACATAAGTTAATACATGCAGTCAGTCCTAGGGCTTTTTTTCCTCTTTTCTATGCACTATCTTTTAGAGCGTTCCAACCCATTTAATTTATTACTGGTTTATAGTGAATGTTTGTTTTGATTAGCATTTCATTATAGCCATCATTTTCCTTTTTCTACGAAAGTGATTTTTGCATGATTATTTTAAATGTGCTTGAAGATTATTGATTCTTCTCTAGATTTGGATTTGTGTGTGTGTATGTGTGTGTATTTATATATTTTTATTTCTTGTAGTGGGAAGTACCTTCTGTTTATAGTGGGGTTATCCTGGGGATTAAAGACAGTTTAACAAGAGATTTGGTTTACATTCTGTTGGCCAAAGGTTTACACTGCAGTGCTGTTAAGGTGAGTAAAAGCATATATCAACTACTGGTTAAAATCTGTTTTATCAATTTTATTGTAAAACCCAGGAATCAGAATCTCCTATATTTTCCTTGATCTCAAAATACAGTCCTAGGCCTAAAGGGTATTTTCTCGCCCCTCTTAAAGGATATTTTAAAAGGTATTTTGGTTCTTTTTCCTTTACCTTCACAATTGTACCAAAGTGTTTTTGGATATACAGATTCCTTGAGACCCTGAAAAATTATATATTGTATCTCTTAGGATTTACTTAGTAAAATTGTATTCCAGGCTCTAAGTACAAAACAGAATCCCTTAAAATTACTTTTGTAGTTTATTTTACACAAGGAGTTTGTAACGTTTTTGGGAGGTTGACACCGAAGTGAAGTGTTAAATGATATAAGAAGGTATAATTGCACAAGTAATAGTACAGTAAATTCTATAAGCAGGTTAATGGTAGTATTTCCAAATTTAGCTCCCGCAGAAATCCTGAGCCAAAGGTCAAGGCTTGAAAAAGTTAGTGAGGTAAAGGGGATTTCACCATGTGGAAGAGCTCAAAGATAAGAAATCGGAAGGTTTACAAGGGGACTGGAAGCAAAAAGCTGATGTTAAGAGTATCATTTGGTATGTGAAGCTGGGCAGTGATAAGGCTAGAAGTGGAAATAAGACGCAGCCTCTACAGACCCTGGGAGCGTTGCTAGACCGACAGTTTCCTAGCTAGAAGTCCAGCATGTAGATGTTTTAGGGTTTTTTTTTAAAAATAATTTATTGTCAAATTGGCTTATATACACACCCAGTTCTCATCACAAGTGCCCTCCTCAGTGCCCATTAGACATTATAGTTTTAAGAGAAGCAGTATCCAGCTTTTTTTCTTGTCTTTCCTAAAATTGATTGGCCTGAAAAACTCTTATGGTTGACACACCCTATTGTTTCCCCTTTCCATTGTTCCATTCTCTTTTCACGCTTATCCTTTTCTAGCTTACCTTAGAAAGGTGGAGGAGGGGTGCCTGGGTGGCTCACTTGGTTAAGTGTTCAATTGTTGCTTTTGGCTCGGGTCATGATCCCGTAGTCCTGAGATGGAGGCCTATGTTGGCTCCGAACTGAGTGTGGAGCCTGCTTGGGACTCTCTCTTTCTGCCCCTCCCTTCTCTCTCTCTCTCTCTCTCTCTCTCTCTCTCTCTCTTTCTCAATAAATGTTTAAAAAAAAAAACAAAGGTGGGGGAGGAGCCATATTTTAGCTTTATAGTAAGTTTTGAAAAATCAAGTGCTGTCAAGGCCTCCAGTTTGATTGTACTTGATAATGATTTTGGCTAGTCTAGGTCCTTTGATTTTTATTTTACTTAATTATTTTTAAGATTTTATTTAAGTAAACTCTGCACCCAATGTGGGGCTTGAACTTACAGCACTGAGATTAAGATTGGCATGTTCTGCCAACTGAGCCAGCCAAATGCCCTTCCCTTTTGCTTTTTAATATAAATTTTAGAATCAGCTTTTCAGGAAGGAAAAAAAAAAAGCCTGCTGGGATTTTGAATTAGATTGCAGTGAATCTATAAATTGATTTGGGGACAGTTGATAACATTATGTCTTTCAGTCCATGAACTTGGTATAGGTCTTCATTTATTAGGCCTCTATTTATTTATGTCCTTATCTTGTTCTGAAATTTTCAGCATAAAAATCTTGCATGTATTTTGTTAGATCTATCCCTATTGAGAGAGTGGGAGAGTGCATGTGCATGGGATTGAGGCAGAGAGAGAATCCCAAGCAAGCCCTGAGCTGCCGGCAAGGAGCCTGATATAAGGCTTGATGCCATGAACTGTGAAATTGTGAGCTGAGCCAAAATCAAGAGATAGATGCTTAAATGACTGAACCACCCAGGCATGTCCCCCCCACCCCAAAATACTTCCAAGCTTAAAACATTTATATCAGGAAGTAAATATTCATGTAAAACTGAATATTTTTAAGAGGGCAACGAGCAAGAACCTTTTGTAGATAGTGCTGTAAACCAGAGGCTCTCAAAGTGTGACCCCCACACCAGCAGCATTGGCTATATTTGGGAACTTGTTAGAAATGCAAAATATTGGGCCCCCCCCTTAGACCTACTGAATCAGAAACTGTGGATAGGGCCCAGCAGTTTGTTTTAATAAGCCCTCCAGGTAATTTCTGATGCATGCTAAATTTCAGAACTGTTTCTAGACCAATACTGTCCAGAAATACCATGCAAGCCACATTTGTAATTTATGATTTCCTTGTAGCCACATTTTTAGAAGTACAAAAGTGATTTAAACCTGCTATATCTAAACTATTGCTTCAACAAATAAGCAATATAAAAATTATTGAAGTGTTTTTGTTTTGTTTTTTAAATGTGTGTGCTAGGTTTTCACTCAAAATCCAGTATTTTACACTCAGAGAACCTCCCAATTTGGACTGGTCACAATTCACATACTCAGTAGGCACATGTAGCTCGTGGCTACCATGTTGGAACGTACAGCTCTAGACAGTAGTGAGCTATTGAAAAGTTTATAATGGGGGCATGTCATTGACGTGCCTTTTCTCCTTCCACCCCTAAAATATTTAACATTTATTGAGCACAGAGACTATCCTGCAGTTTTCTTTATTTGTTGACTTCTTCCTCACACATACACACAAACTGGAAGGTGTTAGCTCGCTTTTATAGGTGAAAAATCAGAGACTCAAAGGTATTAAATTCTTTGAGCTCCCACAGCTAGTAAGTGGCACAAGTGTTGGAAAGGAATGTTGAGAAGGTAAAATCTAGAATTGATTGCTTCCTCATGTGCTATGGAAGACAAGAAGGAGAAAATGGAGAGCGATGCTCGTGTTTCTGCTTGGGATGCCAGCATGTGAATATGGAAAAGCATTTTTGAAGGACTTGATTATTCATTTTTAAAATGTTTAGTTTGGGCCTGTGGTTGGAAACAGCCTAGAGCTTGGGGAATGGTCTGGGCTAGAGATAGAAATTTGAGAGGCATCAGCGACCACCCAGGGAGAACATATAGAGCCTAGAGGATGTGACATTGGGTCCAAGAAACAGTGGCAGGATGGGTACAAGGACCAGACACAGGTAGAGTCATAATAGCAAAGGGAGTAGAGAGATGTCCAACACAAGGCAGTGAGTAGCGTGGGGATGCAGCCCCTAGGTTCTGTACGATAACTAGAGTGTACAGTCAGTTGAACAGTTAGAAGGTCTTTGTTTAGTGGGAGCTATTTCTTCTTTGTGGTGGGGGTAGGAGTAAAGGAGGCATCTGTTGGGGGGGAAGAGAGAATGAACAAAGACTACTCTTCAGAAAAATTAGAAGCAGATGTGGAAGAAAGGGATTGAATTATACTGAGTTTGATTTATTAGCCAATTATGTGGACTAAGGTCATGTACAGAGATTTTAGAATGTAAGACCTCGTTGGGGCGCCTGGTGGCTCTGTCAGTGAAGTGTCCGACTTCAGCTCAGGTCATGATCTCACAGTTTGTGGGTTCGAGTCCCGCGTTGGGCTCTATGCTGACAGCTCAGAGCCTGGAGCCTGCTTCAGATTCTGTGTCTTCCTCTCTCTGCCCCTCCCCACTCATGCTCTGTCTTTCAAAAATAAATAAACATTAAAATAATTTTTTTAGAATGTAAAACTTTGTTGAAGAGTCTAAGATCCAGCTCTGAGTAGGCTAGGTGTAGAAGGGTACTTGTCATAAAATCTGTATTCATTCTGTGTATACATATGCATAGAAGATGTATAATTTATGTGGATGTATTCTGTATATGTATATACATACATGGCTCATATATAACAAGCATATAGATATAGAATATATATTATATGTGTGTATGTAATATGTATAGCTTATATAAAATGTATGTATATGACATGTATATAATGTAAAAGGTTTTTTGGTTTTACAATTTATGTAAAACTTGTTTAATATTGTAGCATGTTTTTATGCTGTTTATTATATATTTTAAAAAGTTATTTAAATTCAAATTAGTTAACGTACCATGTATAGTGTTGGTTTTAGGAGTGGAAACCAGTGCTTCATAACTTCCTTATAACACCCGGTGCTCATCCCAACAAGTGCCTTCCTTAATGCCCATCACCCATTTAACCCATCCTGCCACCCACCTCCCATCCAGCAAACCTCAGTTTGTTCTCTGTATGAAGAGTCTCTTATGGTTTGCTTCCCTCTCTATTTTTATCTTACTTTTCCTTCTCTTCCCCTGGGTTCATCTGTTTTGTTCTTAAGTTCCACTGATTTTTTTAAACTACAAAAGATTAAGTATTAGAACAAATCAGTGACACAGATGATAAAGCAAAAGCTAGTCTAGCCTCACTTTCCAAGACAACCAGTATGAACCGTTTAAATTAATCCTCCTCCTCTTCGGTCCCTACTCCTAAAGATGCACATTTTTTGATTCCAGGGGAGAAGTGATCCAATGATTTGTTTTTTTTTTTTCTCTAGGACTTTCCCCATGCCAAACAGTTGTTTGCTGCTTGTTTGGAGTTGGTAACAGAGTTCTCACCGAAACTCCGTCAGGTCATGCTGAATGAGATGCTGCTTTTAGATATTCATACACATGAAGCTGGAACAGGGCAATCAGGAGAGAGACCTCCTTCTGATCTTATTAGTAGGGTGCGAGGCTATCTGGAAATGAGGCTTCCCGGTAAGACTTTCACAAAGCCAAAGTTGAGAAATAACAGTACTCAGGTAATTGTGGGGAAGAATCTAAAAAAGCATCTGCTTGACTTTTTGTCATCTGTAAAAAAAAGTTACCTCTCTCCTAAAACAGAGTTCTGACCTGGAGTTCACTTGAGAACATTGAGGATAATGTAGGAAACTTCATTTCCAAGAATTGCTGTAACAAAGTACCACAAGCTAGATGAATTAAAACAGAAATTTATTCTCTCATACTTTTAGAGTGAAATCAAGGTGTCAGCAAGGTCATGCCCCCTCTGAAGGCTCTGGGAAAAAGCCTTCTAGCTTCAGGTGGCTCCAGCAGTCTTCACTATTCCTTACTTAGCCTGTAGCTTCACACTCCCGTCTCTGCCTCCTTTGTTACATGGCCTTCTCAGGGAGTGTGTGTGTCTTATAAAGGCAGTAGTCATTGGATTTAGGGTGTGTGCTAATTCAATATGATCTCATCCTAACTAAGTATATCTGTGAAGGTCCTGTTTCCAAGTGAGGAAACTCTGAGGTCTCAAGTGGAAATGAATTTTGAGGGGCCGCTGTTCAACACATTACAAAATTATACTGCAGTTTTTTTTTTTTAATGTTTTATTTATTTCTGAGAGAGAGGCGGCATGAGCAGGGGAGGTTCAGAGAGAGAGGGAGACACAGAATCAGAAGCAGGTTCTAGGCTCTGAGCTAGCTGTCAGCACAGAGCCCAATGCGGGACTCGAACCCATGACTGTGAGATCATGACCTGAGCCGAAGTCAGACGCTTAACCCTGAGCTACCCAGGCACCCCTGTATTGCAGTTTTTTTTTTTGTTTTTTGTTTTTTAATTTTTTTAACGTTTATTTATTTTTGAGATAGAGACAGAGTATGAGCCGGGGAGGGTCAAAGAGAGAGGGAGACACAGAATCTGAAACAGGCTCCAGGCTCTGAGCTGTCAGCACAGAGCCCAACGCGGGGCTTGAACCCACAGACCTCGAGATCATGACCTGAGCCGAAGTCAGCCGCTTGACCGACTGAGCCACCCAGGCGCCCCAACCCTGTATTGCAGTTTTAAGATACTTTGTTAAAGAATCAAAATGTCCTTGAAGGTACAGGTTAAAAGTTTAATTCCTCATTACCATCATAGAAATGTTCAAAATGTTTGCCAGTGAGTCAAGAACTCACTTGTCACTTACGAACAGATCTTGTGTGTCCAGTTTTAAGTGTAAATATGTCATTGTGAAAAGGAGCTTATATATATTGTCTCTGTTGTATGTAAATCTTACGTAAAGCAGTTTCTTCATTTTATATGTTTGAGAGTAATTAAATCATGCTATATACATTTAAGGTTGTGAACAGTACAATTGAAGTATAACGGTAAGTGCTAGTAATGTGCCAAAGCTGAAGTGGCCATTGGCCCTCTTGGGTCTTTTGGATTAAGTTAATTGTTAATACATTCTGATTTCTAGCAGAATTTACAACCATGGGCCAGGATAAGGGAGGGGCACAAAAAGGTGTTATCTCCCATTTTCTCCTCCCCCTCTTTAGGGAAAAAAATTGTTCCCTGGTGATATTGGGCCCGTTTTGGTCAAATTAGATGCATGCTCTTTGTAAAAGACAGAAAGTATTAATGTGGATTGGCCTGGCTCTACTATCAGGAACAGGAAGTGATCTTATTTTTTATGTTTATTTTTGAGAGGGAGAAGGCACGAGGAGGGGGAGGTAGGCGCAGAGAGAGAGGCAGACAGAGGATCCAAAGCAGACTCCATACGTTTCTAGTGACATGTAACCCCTAATGTAGGGCTCGAACTCCTGAACCATGAGATCATGATCTGAGCTGATGTCGTATGCTTAACCAGCTTAGCCACCTACGTGCTCCAAAGGAACAGGAGGTGGTCTTTATTGACAACAGATCCAACCTTCCATTTATAAATAAAGGCTACAGATTAATTATTTTAAAACCAGTGATGTCTTTTGGAAGAAATTCCCCAACTTTTAATACTTTTGTATTAAAAGGTAACTTTGTGTTGAGACGTGTCCTCATTATGTTCTTTGGATTTCAACAAAATTGAATTCTAGGCCTACTAGAGATAATGATTAATTGTATATTGCAGATGCTTAAAGGGAAGTTTAATCAAATCACTACTTCTCCAGCTGTATCAGAATTCTCCCTAGATTCTGATTTAAGGCTTTAAGAACTGTTGCTGTACCCTTCCCACTCATGGCTCCCTCAAAAAATTAAAATTAAAAAGGGCACCTGGTGGAGCAGTTCGTTAAGCGTCTGACTCTTGATTTCAACTGAAGTCATGATCTCATGGTTCATGGGATTGAGTCCCCCCATCAGACTCCATGCTGGGTGTGGAGCCTGCTAAGATTCTCTGTCTCTTCTGCCTTTACCCCACACATATGCACAGTCGTTCTTTCACTCTCAAAAAAAAAAAAAGTTTTTTTTAATTAGGGGCGTCTGGGTGACTCAAGTTGGTTAAGCATCCAACACTTGGTTTCAGGTCAAGTCTGATCTCACGGTCCATGAGATAGAGCCCTGCGTGGGACTCTGTGCTGGCAGCATGGAGCCTGCTTGGTTAGGATTGTTTCCTTTCTGCCCCTCCTGTGCTCGTGCGCGCGCGCTCTCTCTCTCTCAAAATATACTAGAATAGAAAAAGAAAAACAAAAAGAATGAAAAAGAATTAAAGTTAACCAAAAAAAACCCCAAAGCATTGCTGTATTGGAAATGGGGAGTGTGGATGAATAAATGAAGCCTTGGAGCCAAATGTTGTGTGGTCTGCCTTTAAAGAACTGAATGACATGCATGTGTTGGGGATACCAGTTTCACTTCTGTCTTTGTTTTGCTTGAAGATGATGCAAGTAGTGTATTTTGTTCTGCTGTGTTCCTCTGCCTGTCTTTGTCATTGCGAATCTTCTTTTGGGTAAGGTGAGATATAAAAAGATACCCATAGGCAGTCTTTTTTTTAGAAGGACTAAAAAAATATAGGTACCGAAGAAGTTTAATAGCTTTCCATATTTTAAGTTAACATTGTTATTTAGTATTCTTAGTATTCTTTGGAATTTTTCTTTTTGCTGAAGTACATTAAAACCTGAATATTATATACTTGCGCTATGAAAATTTGTAGCTGTTTAATATGAAGGTATATTTATTTCAAAGGAAATGATGTGCAAAAAAAATTTTTTTTATCCAAAACAATTTTTTTTTTCTCATTGCTTTTTACTTAAAATTGTTTCTGAGCCATGTGGTTGGCTTACTCGGTTAAGCAGCCAATTCTTGATTTCAACTCAGGTCATGATCTCTGAGGTTCGTGAGGTTAAGCCCCACATGTGGCTCTTTGCTCACAGTGCTGAGTCAGCTTCAGCTCCTCGGTCTCCCTCTCTCTTCCCTTCCCCCCTGCATGTTCACATGCGTTCTCTTTCTTTTTCAAAAATAAATGTTAAAAAAATGTAAAAACAAAATGTTTTCGGTACAGTAAATATTTTTTGAAAGGAAATGACTTCTTAGGAATATTTATTGTAATCAGAAGAAATATTTAAAATGATACATTCACTCAGATTTATTAATTTTAATATATGGTATAGCTATTTCTGTGCTCTATGTGTGCTAAAAGTTTATACTGTACCATTGTACTTGTTTTGCGTGTTTACTCTCCACTCATTTGGATTAGAAATTTTTAGAGGACAGGTAATGTGGACTTCCACAAGAGTTTAAGTATTCTTAGCAGGTGAGTTTGTTAATTAGTAAGTAGTAGGGACCATGTCTGTTCTTGGGAAACCTTAACTTTTTATTTTTTTAACCTTTTAACATTTATTTATTTATTTTTTTAATGTATTTTTAATTTATTTCTAGGAGAGAGAGAGAGAGACAGCGTGAGCAGGGGAGGGTCAGAGAGAGAGAGAGGGAGATACAGACTCTGAAATAGGCTCCAGGCTCCGAGCCGGCAGTCAGCACAGAGCCCGACGCAGGGCTCGAACCCACGAACCGCGAGATCATGACCTAAGCGAAAGTCGGACGCTCAACCGACTAAGCTACCCAGGCGCCCCTTAACATTTATTTTTGAGAGACAGAGATAGAGCATGAGTGGGAGAGGAACTGAGAAGAGAGAGACAGACAGCTGTCTGTGCTGACAGCTCAGAGCCTGACACGGGGCTCAAACTCAGAAGCCGTGAAATCATGACCTGAGCTGAGAGATCATGACCTGAGCCGAAGTCAGATGCTTAACTGACTGAGCCACCCAGGCGCCCTGGGAAACCTTAACTTTCTAGAGAAAGTATAAAACATTAGAATTTTTCTGTTGTTTCATCTGTAACTGTTGTTTTTAATTTATAGCTCAACTGAAGTCTGAGTACATGCTTTGTTTCCTGTTTTAATATTACAATGGTATTTCCAACTATTTTCTTCTTTGGCTTTTTAGATATTCCTCTTCGTCAAGTTATAGCTGAGGAGTGTGTTGCTTTTATGTTAAACTGGAGAGAAAATGAATACCTTACACTGCAAGTTCCCGCATTTCTGCTTCAGAGTAATCCATATGTAAAGGTATTTGTGTTTAATCTAAAAGAATTATTAGGTTGAGATTATTGTACCTGTTTCTTTAGATTTACACTAAGGGCACTTGCCCAATTTGTATGATACAATGGAAGACAGGACAACTGTTTGTTGGTTTGTGGTTAAAAGTCTAGTTTGGGATAATTTGAGTGCTTGGGTTTGCCCTCTGATTTTTTTTAATGTTTTTTTTTGTTTGTTTGTTTTGTTTTGTTTTTCCTGAGAGAGAGAGAGAGAGAGAGAGACAGAGACATCCTGAGTAGGGGAGGGTCAGAGAGAGAAGGAGATACCAGAATCAGAAGACAGGCTCTAGGCTCTGAGCTAGCCATTAGCACAGAGTCCAATGTGGGGCTCAAACCCACGAACCATGTGATCATGACCTGAGCCGAAGTCAGATGCTTAACCGACTGAGCCACCCAGGCACCCCTGCCCTCTAATATTTTTTTTCAATACTCAGTAGTTCATGAGAACACAAACAAAAATTAGTTGACAGACAACATTATGGTATAAGCTAAGCTAGTGAGAGGTTATATAACCTAAGCTAGTGAGAGATTAGTTGTCTTGTTATCTTGTTTTGATCAGTAGAATCAAACTCTAGTGTTAAGCTCTGGAATACGTGGGCATACCTGGGTATGTACTGGTGGAGATGTGAGGGGTGCACTTCCAGTTGTTTTCCATCTGAGTGCCTGACCCTTCCTTATAGCTTATTTCCTCCTCTAGATTTGTGGCTGGCTCTTGGTCATGTACATGTTAGTTATACCCAAATGAAAGAACTCATTCAGTGAATTGATGGTGAGTTGTTTATTCACCTTTCTTAAGTTCCTTCCTGTGCAACTGACAATGTTTCTGGTTGAAGAAAATAAAAACAGAGACTGGAATTTTTGCCTAAGACTGTTCGTCGTGTGTAAATATTATGTGTACGTGAATAAGCAGTGGACTTTTCTCCCTTTTTGGTCTTACAGTTTAAAAAAAAATTAGTAATTTAACATTTTTTGTGTGTACATCTGTTTTTTTCTGATTTCTGTATTGTTTGTATGCTTTTTGTTTATCTCCTCTCATCTTTAGTACATAGTCTCTTCAATCAGTGGTTATCTGGGAACTCTTGCAAGACTGTCCCTTTTTTACATTTGTCTTTGGTTATTTGTTTTTTCCTCCTAATTTCCTATATGTCCTTTAAAAAAACTGAGCTCATTTCATTTTAACCCTTTGAAGATTTGCTGATTTCTTTTGTTTTTACACCTTTTTGTCTTCTCTATAATTATTCATAAAATTTGTCATAACTTGAATCATCCTTCTCTTTGGAATTTTAGACACTGGATTAGATCTGTTTTTTAGTGAACTTTCTGAAGTGGGGTTCCTCCTATCTGGGGTACTTGTCTGATTATGCCCAGTAGTCTTGGTCTTTACTAAGATGAAAGAGGCATTTTGTTCTAAGACAGTAATTTTCACTTAGGATCATAGCTTGTTGCTGAGCTTTAGGACAGTACAGTAGCTTCTCTTTGCTTCTCTTGGCAATGAATTCTGTGGAGCTGTGCGCCAGCAGGGCTGGGCACGTTTCAGGGTTTGCAGTGTAGAAGGACACAAGATCTTGTGCTGCGAGTTGCCTGCACTTGAGCTGGGTTATGTCACTGCTTCCTGCAGTCCCCTGGTGTCACCCAAAAGGAGGAAGGATATGTGGTGACCTTGCTGAAGAGTCACTGAAGTATTTCATCATCTTATCTGGTTAGGGTTTGTGTGTCCCCTTCTGTATTTTGGCCCTCTTCTCCCTTGTTTATGTCAAGGAAAAAAGAATCAAAAGTCTAGAATAAGGGATTCTATTTTGAAAATACTATAATTTGGAGCAGTTTCCAAAGTTGGAATTTGGCATGGAATATATATACATATGCATAAGGAAAAGTCTAGAAAGATATTAACAGTAATTATCTCTGGATAGTGGAATAGTAGGTGATTTTAATCGATTGTATTTTTCATTTTTATTTTCTTATTTAAAAAATTTTTTTAATGTTTATCTTTGTGAGAGAGAGAGAACACAAGTGGGGAAGGGGCAGAGAGAGAGGGAGACACAGAATCAGAAGCAGGCTCCAAGTCCCGAGCCATCAACAGCCCAAAGTGGGGCTCAAATCCACAAACTGTGAGATCATGATCTGAGCTGAAGTTGGACACTTAACGACTGAGCCACCCAGGCACTGCTTATTTTCTTACTTGAGTATTCTGTAATCAAAAAGGAAAGGGGAAAATCTTAAGCATGTAGCTAAAATATGACCTTCTGAAATAATAAGAACTGTATAGTCTCCCCCTTGAATCAGGATAGGAGGCAGTGTAGCATATTGGAAAATGCACAGGATTTAGAAAGCTGAGCAGTAGTAGTAGTGGTGGTGGTGGTGGTGGTGGTGGTAGTAGTGATAGACTCCGATAAAGACCGAAGTTCGTAATGTGGCCTCCAAGGCCTTTTAAGGTATAGGTGCTTCTTCCTCTGTTTGCCCTCTCTCGCTCCTTGTCCTGCCTGCCCTGTGCTGGTGCTTCCCGATAACTCACAGCTCTCTACGCAGGACACTTTCTCTACTTGTGCACGTGGGCACATGCTGTCCGTCACCTAGCCGGGATGCCCTTCCTACTTTTGCCTCTTGGTGTGGCTTCTTGGAAGCTTTGCCGTATTCCTTTCTCTGCAGAGGAGTAAATCACTTTCTCCACTTGTTGCCTTTGAACTGTGCTCCTGGGCCTACTGCTTTTGGGCAGGCATGTATTTTTGTTGCTCTCACACCATGTAATAAGTTATTTTTCACTTGTCTTATAAAACAGTAAGCTTCATGAGGACAGTTACTTTTTTTTTTTCTCCAAGGACAGTTACTTTTTATATTCTCAGTGCTTTACTTGATGTCCAAACATAGTAGATGCTTAACAATGTGGAATTCAGTTGACTTGAGGCCTGAGACTTTTTAAGTAATCTCTATACCCAGTGTGGGGCTGAAACTCAGACCCTGAGATCAAGTCATATGTTTTTCTGCCTGAGCTGGATAGATGCCCCTGGAGCTTAAAACTTCTGATAGTTCTTACTTTTAAGTAAACCATTGTAACGACCCACAACTAATCATGTGATTCTTAACAACAGAGTATGAATGGAGACCAGGAGCTACTAGCCTTGTATTGCACTACAGTAGATTGCTGCGTATATGGTGGTCTTAGTTGACGGAGCCGACTTGTATTCAGTAGGCATACAAGATGAAGTGTTCAGCTAAACCGTGGACTCTTGATTGCCACTCACATAACACAGCTAGGGTTTTTACATTGTTTTGCTACCTTTAGGAAGCACCAGTGTTATAAATTTTCTTAGATGTGATCATGGAGTTATGGTTATATAGGAGAATGTTCTTGTCCTTCGAAGATACGTAGGTATTTAGGGTTGAGGTGTGGTATCTGCAGCTTATGAGTTAACAAAGAGTGTATGTAGATACATAAAGTAAATATACTAGAATTTTCACAGTAACTCCAATATACAGATATTATTGAACTCTACAGATTTTCCATGTTGGAAATTTTTATTATAAAAAATTGGGAAAAGTATCAGTTTTCATCTTTGTCATAATACTGCTGCCTCCTTGAGGACCAGCCTGAAGCAGTGGGGACCCACCTTATGAATGTTTTCTAGGTCCAGGTAGAGACCTGGGCTTTGCTGGTGGACTTGAACTGATCCTTGCCACTTCACTGTCGAAAAGAGCAATGATATGTAAGATTTAAGAAGAACAGAGGATAGAGGGGCTCTCTCGTTTTGAAATTATAAAGAGAAATTTCTGCTTTCAGCTCTTCCACTCTATTTGTGGGTGCTTCCTGCATTTTTGGTCCTTTTAAAGCTACCTTTATTCGGATCAGTCACTTTAGTAAGCTGTCCATCCTTTCTTCTTCCTCACCTCAGCAGTGCTGGCTCCATCCCCATTTGCACCTCTGGGCTTTTACCACAGTTAACATTGTATGTATTTTCCATTACACACACCACACACCCTGCCCCCTTTTTAAGTGGTATCATACTATTTACCAACTAGGTCCCTCTCCCACACACTCTTAATAAATCACTTCTTTGCATTGTCTCAGTTTTGTTCTTATTAGACTATACTTGTTTTTGCCCTCATTAGACTAATTGCATGGAATCAGTGAGCTTTATAATATGGCAGAACCAAAGCATCCTCTTCCCCAGTTAGATTCCTGGCTGTTAAGATAGTGAGCTCTAACTTCCTCAGTGGTCGGATGGAAGGTATAGCATAAAATAACTGTTGGTATGTTTGGGTCATTATCCTTCTTTCTTCAAGTGCACCTTAATCATAGAACTTACACGTATGTTACAGATTATCTTTTGTGTATTTTCTGTTTTTCATGTTATAGCTTGGACAGCTTTTAGCAGCTACATGCAAAGAACTTCCAGGCCCTAAAGAAAGTAGACGGACTGCTAAAGACCTTTGGGAAGTTGTTGTTCAGATCTGTAGTGTATCCAGTCAACACAAACGAGGAAATGATGGCAGAGTTAGTTTAATAAAGCAGAGGGAATCTACATTAGGTATAATGTATCGGTATGTTTCTATCAGTTTATTTTTTGTACTGTTTGTACTATTTCAAGAACATCAACCATTATCCTTGTATATCCTAAAGATGGACAGTGTTAGAGTTCCTGGTTCCGATCTCTGATGGACTAACATGGCCACCTTTGGAAATTACCTTTTGTTTATATGTTATTTTAAGAGATTGTTAACCATTTAATATCTACTGGAGTTCAGAGTCCTTGATGTCTGTGATTGCATAGTACTGAAGAAGTCACATGTGATTAAAACTGAAGAGATTTTATTAGGTTAGTATAATAGAATGTTATACTCTTTCATATGTACAGAAGTGGAGAGTTAGGTAAAAATCTTCACCTATGATTTACTTTCTTTTTAATTTCTGATAGTAAATGTATATACAAAATTTGTTTTTTGTAGGAGTGAACTACTTTCTTTTATCAAAAAATTACGGGTAAGTTTTATTAAAAGTTCAATTATTATTGCTCATTTTTGTAAAATATGACTGAAAATATTGAGTGCTTAAATGCAGATTATTTAAGTGCTTTGTATAATGTGCCTATTATCTTCAGTGATCGTTTCTGAAGATGGGATGGTCTGAATGGAGAGGTTTATTTTGCATTTACCTTAATGTGTTTTAGTGAATAAAGCAGGTATTTTTTTTCTTAAGTTTATTTATTTTAAGAGAGACAGACAGCACAAGTGGGGGAGGGGCAGACAGGGAGACAGAGAGTCCCAAGCAGGCCCCATACTGTCACCACAGAGCCTGATGTAGGGCTCAAACTCATGAAACCATGAGATCATGACCTAAGCTGAAACCAAGAGTAGGACGCTTAACCAACTGAGCCACCTGGGTACCCCAAAGGAAGTCTTTTTTTAATTTTAAAGAAGTTTTCATAATAGCTGGATGTGTGAAGCCTAGTTTTAATTTTATTTTATTTTTTTAATGTTTATTTTTGAGAGAGAGAGAGCGTGAGCAGGGGAGGGGCAGAGAGAGAGAGAGGGAGACACAGAATCTGAAGCAGCCTCCAGGCTCTGAGCTGTCAACACAGGACCTGATGTGGAGCTTGAACCCATGAACCATGAGATCATGACCTGAGCAGAAGTCGTACACTCAACCGAGTGAGACACCCAGGCGCCCCTTAATTTTTGACGATAAGATTAATGTTACATTTATTTACTGGACATGACCTAGATTTCATCTTTTAAATATTATTTTAAAGGGTTGCCTGGGTAGCTGAGTTGGTTGAGCATCTGACTTTGGCTCAGGTAATGATCTCACAGCTTGTGAGTTCAAGCCCTGTGTTGGACTCTGTGCTGACAGCTCAGAGCCTGGAGCCTGCTTCGGCTTCTGTGTCTCCCTCTCAGCCCCTCCCCTACTCATGTTCTGCCTTCCCTTTCATTCTCAAAAGTAAATAAAAACATTAAAAATTTTTTAAAAATTAAATATTAAGGAATAGAAATTCAATTTTTTAGAGATAGCTGGAAGTAGTAATTGAAAAGAGATTTATTTACTCAATTTCAAAAGTCATCTGAGGACTTGAGCATCATAAGCCAGTCACCTAAATGTAATTTTTGTGTAAATTGTGTGCTGTGACTTCTTTCATGGGATTAAAAATAAAGTTGACCTTTAGTGTGTGATTTAAACTAAAGCAGATGGCAGATTTCAAAAATGAGAGAATCTTTTTTTAAATGTTTATTTTTGAGTGAGAGAGAATGTGTGTATGTGCATGCTTGTGAGTGGGGTGAGGCAGAGGCAGAGATGGGATCGAAAGCAGGCTCTGTGCTGACAACAGAGAGCTGGATATAGGACTCAAACTCACAAACCACGAGATCAAGACATGAGCTGAAGTCGGACTCTTAATTGACTGAGCCTCCCAGGCATCCTAGAATCTTTTGAGAGAAAATATTTGAGGAAGTGGGGGGGCGCCTGGGTGGCTCAGTCAGTTAAGCGACCAACTTCAACTCTCATCCTGGAGCCTGCTTCCAGATTCTTTGTTTCCTTCTCTCTCTGCCCCTCCCCTGCTTGCGCTTTTTCTCTCAAACATAAACATTAAAAAAGAAAATGCTTGGTATCCCTGAGGTTGACAGGAGGAATGTTAAATATATATAATATTTAAGGATTCTGTATTTTCTTTCTCATAGGAACCATTGGTTTTGACTATTATTTTATCACTCTTTGTGAAACTTCACAATGTTAGGGTCAGTATTTCATAATTTCATTAAAAAAATCTTTGAAACGAATATCCTTAGAAAAAATCCACTTAAATCGCTTAAAAAATTTTTTTTTTTAAATTTTTAGGAGGACATCGTGAATGATATTACAGCTGAACACATTTCTATTTGGCCATCCTCCATCCCCAAGTAAGAAGTATTATAGCTTACATTTATTAATTATGTTTTTAGAGATCATCCTGATACAGATAATCTTGAATAATTTGACTAAAAGGTACAATCTATAAGGATTCTACAGTCAATTTCATTTCTCTATTGCACTAACCATTTTCTTAAAAATGAATAAGGCATAACTCTAAGAGCTAAGGTGTACCAGCCTTAAGTTGAATGAAAGACCCTTACGTGATCCTGATGGTTTATCAATGGGTAGAATTAGCAGATTGAGGCAGAAAACGATTTTCTGTTAGGTTTCCATCATCTTACCTCTTTTACAAATATCTATTTGAAAATGACTCGAATAAAAAAGTTTATTTTGAGGGGCACCTGGGTGGCTTAGTCGGTTAAGCGTCCGACTTTCGCTTAGGTCATGATCTCGCGGTTCGTGGGTTCGAGCCCCGCGTCGGCCTCTGTGCTGACTGCCAGCTCGGAGCCTGGAGCCTGTTTCAGTCTGTGACTCCCTCTCTCTCTGACCCTCCCCTGTTCACGCTGTCTCTGTCTCTCCTAGAAATAAAAAAAAAAAACAAAAAAAAACAACTATTAAAATTAAAAAAAAAAGTTTATTTTGAGAGAAAGTGCACGTGGGCGAGGGACAGAGAGCAGAGGAGAATCCCAAGCAGGCTCTGTGCTCTCAACAGGGGTCAGCGTGGAGCCTGATACAGGATTCGTGAATTGCGAGATCATGGCTTGAGCTGAAACCAAGAGTTGAATGTTTAACTGACTGAACCCCCCCAGGCACCTTGAAAATAACTTTTTTTATAATTATTCTTTGTAGGTCTCTTCAAACCCTGTAACTATCAGAGGGTCCCAACCCCTTTTAGTTACTAAGAAGTTCTTGGATACTTCAAGAAATGTTCCCTTTTTCTTTCATCTCCTGAAAAGCACAGTAATATGATGGGGAGAAGAAAATGTCCTTTTTTCTGGAAGAAGAAACCATTTACATATTTCTTTTCCTGCACATAGTAACTTCTCATTCAACAGTCCCATTTCTTTCCTCACAGTTATTTTTCCTTCCCTCCCTATCCCTGATTTTTTTTGACTTGGTGCCTGAAGGACAGGACTAGGCCTTATTTTATTGCCCTTAGTGGCATCTTTGAAGAAGAAAAGATTTTAGTAGGTAGATAAGCAGGCAATAGAATGAGAGTAATTTGCTTTCATCTTAATCTTAGATTGAAAGCCATTGTGCATCTCATATAGAGGTTTGAAAGGTCAAAAGTGAGTGAGTGACCCTTCCTTTCTCATATTGAGGCTTTTTTCCCAAAGAATCACCGTGCTTTAAAGCAAATGTGCATCCTAAATGACGACATTATAACTGCAGATTTTTTTTTTTTTAAGATTTTATTTTTAAGCAATCTCTACACCCATCATGGGGCCCAAATGTACAACCAAGAACAAGGGTCGCGTGCTCTACTGACTGGGCCAGCCAGGCCCTCTGACTGCGGGTTTTCCTGTAAACTTTAGTATGTTACATAGCAGTCCCGACATCAGGTAGAGATCCTTTTGCCTAATTGATGGTTGGTAGTGTCTCTGGGGTGCTGCTTCTTTATCCTAATGGTTGATTTTCAGTGCGTGTTTATAAATGAGGCAAAAGAATAGTTTATCCTAGAAGCTCTGAGCTAGATTGGTGAGGTTTGAGTCCTAGCTTCTTCACTTACGTGGTATAAAACCTTGGATAAGTTGGTTTCCTGACTAGTTTCCTCATTTATTAAATGGATGTAAGAATACCTACCTCAGATTTGTGAGGATTAAATAAATTAATATGTTATTCTAAAGTAGGTATTTATAAGGGCTGGTTTAATAGGCTTAACTGTTACCTTCATGATAAAATTACTTTAAGCTGATCCAAAGAAAATGAAATGTGACTAAATGTTTGAACAGAAAAAGTATTTCTCTTGAGTACGAGTCTTTGTTGACTCTAAGAGTAGTGTGAGAATGGTATGGATTGAGCATTGCTATGGTAAAATCAGTTGTTTGATATGTAGATAGAATTCTTGTTAACATTTTATAAATTTCTATAAAATCACAAGCCAGTTTAACGCATTTAGCTGTCAATGAATGAGTATTTGTTAATAATACCACAGTTCTTTTCCCACTACATTGGGATCATTGGTGAATTAAGGTTAGATCTAACCCCTCAGGGCAATGGAAGTACTTAGTCCGAGTTCACCTTGTAAACAATAGAGCTAGGACTTGGACCTTGTATGTGTCTGAATCCAGAGCATATGTTCTTTCCCTCTGTTCCTTACTGCTTCCGGGAGATAGGCACTGCCAGCTTTGTTTCTTTTGTGCTGGTTTTTGTCCTTACAGTTCCATTTTCTAATTCTGTATCAAAGGACTTCCAGGTTTAATGAGGCTGGCCTCCATTCCCTCCCCCTCCTTTGATTCTTTACAAGCACTTGAATATACTCAAGTGGTACACTTGCCAAAGGTAGCCCCCGACCCTGTGAGGGCCAGTGAAACCTCTAATCTAGAGGATTTTGTTACTCTTACCAAGAGTCATAAGGTAGACTCCAGGCCACAGAGTGTTGTTAGTACTCAAGCCCTTGTAGAGTGGTCTAGCCTACCGTCTTTGAAATTTGGGGAGAAAAAGGAAACAAAAATCAGATTGTTTTCAGCCTCTTATAATAAGTGAAGCTTATCACACTTCATACTTCCTTGGACTCATTTGTTAATAGTTTTAATATGCAGTAATCACTCTTAGTAATAGTAGGATTTGTACTTATGGTCACTTAAATTTTGTCTCACTCTTTTTGTTTTTAACAAATGTGTATGGAATTTGAATTTGAAAAATCGAGATTAATGTTCACTGTCTTTTTCTTTTTTTTTTCCTTTTTTCTTTTTTTGTCTTTTTAGCCTCCAGTCAGTGGACTTTGAAGCTGTGGCAATCACAGTGAAAGAGCTAGTTCGGTATGCTCTCAGCATAAATCCAAACAACCATTCCTGGTTAATTATTCAGGCAGACATTTATTTTGGTAAGTGAGATGTATTGTTTTGCATTTTACTTTTATAGCACTTTTGTAGAAGTGAAAATAAATACATATTTTTTCCCAATACCTTATTAAACTTGTTTTTGATGCCTAACTTTTCTTCCTAGATACATTGCTATATATTCATTTTTTTGTGTTGTGTCTTTGGTTCAGATACTTATAATTTTTATGTTGACTGCTTTTTTTTTTTTTTTTTAAGTTAGAGAGAGAGTGTGTGTGTGTGTGTGGTGTGTGTGTAAGTGGGGAAGGGGCAGAGAGAGAGGGAGAGAGAGAATTCAGGCAAGCTCCACACTCATGCAGAGCCCAGCAGGCGCCTGTTTCCACGAACCATGAGATGATGACCTGAGTCAAAATAGTCAACCCGCTGAGCCACCTAGGTACCCCAGTAATTGCCAGTTTTAATGCTCGTTTTCACCGTAGCCCCCCATCCCCAAAGAATTTATCATCAAGGTCTTAATATCTATGTTCAGAATAGATCTATTGATACTAACCTACCTCAGAAAATTCAGGTATGTTTCTAGTATGGGCATTTGGGAAACAAATACCTTCAGTACTAAGTTTGATAAGAAATCTGAGCTAAATTTTTGGCTAATCGGTTTTAGAAATCAGGGAAAAGTAGTTTTTAAAAATGTGGTTTTTCTGTGTTGTCCCAGATAAATGTTAGCCCTAGCCCTGGTTTGAATCTGCTTTTGTCACCTCATGAGGTAATCATACCCTACTCTTCATAGAAGAGAACATGTTTGTTTTTTCGGCTGTTATGTCTAATGTTAGGTCATTCTTTATTTTCTGTTTTCTACTTCAGCAACAAACCAGTATTCGGCAGCTCTTCACTATTACCTACAGGCAGGAGCTGTGTGTTCTGATTTCTTTAATAAGGCTGTGCCCCCTGATGTTTATACAGACCAGGTAGGTTGTCTTGTGGCTCTCTTTCTTGTCTACCTTTACCTGTTCCTTTTTCTTGGGCCCCTTTTGGGTGAGTTGATTTGTTTTCACATATGTGGTGGTAACTCCCAAACTGAATGCCTTAGACCTGATTGTTCTCCATATTTCTAGTGCCCATAGATCACTGCTACTTTGATTTCCCAAAACACCTAAAACTCAACCTGTCCAAAACTGATTTCAGCATCTTACTCCTGATGCCCTTTTCCCACACACATGGGAAAAAAAAAAAAACAAAAAAAAAAACCCCACACCAAAATACCAAACACCTTGTTCAACCATTTGAGTTGACCAAGCCCAAATCCTGAGCATCCTCTTTTCTTTACTGACGCTCCCACCGAAGTCTAATCAGCCTTCAAGACATAGTGATTCTGTCTCCTAAATCTCAAATTTATTTTATTTTCTTTCTGTACATATTGTCCTCTGGTTTATGCTATCAATATCAGAATTTACTAAATGGTAGATTATAATACGTGGTATTTAAATTAGATTTTAAATTTTTTAGTAACACGTTATTTTTCATTAAAAATTCTATTTTTAGAGCAATTTTAGATGCACAGCAAAATCAAGCAAAAAGTAGAGTTTTCATATACCTGCCATTCCCTCATATGCAGTTTTCACCACCATTGCCCTTCCACATCAGAGTGGTACAGTGGTTACAACTGGTGTTAGCTGGTTTTTGAAAGTAATCAGAATTTGTTTTTGTAGGTAATAAAACGAATGATAAAATGCTGTTCTTTGCTGAATTGCCACACACAGGTTAGTTTATGATGTGTTGGTTTATTTTCATGTATATTAGAGTTTACAATAAGTATAAAGCATTGGACTGGGAAATAGCCTTTATTTTCTTTATCTTAATTGCCTAACTTTACAGTATTTAAGAATTTGACATGTTTAATTTTTTTCTTTTTTCAATTTATTGTGAGAGAGACACAGTGTGAGCAGGGGAGGGGCAGAGAGAGAGGAGAGCGAGAATCCCCACCCTCCTCTACACTCAGCCTGGAGCCCAGTGCGGGGTTCAAACTCATGAGATCATGACCAGAGCCAAAACCAGGAGTCAGATGCTTAACCAATTGAGCCACCCAGGCACCCCTTAATTTTTTGTTTTAACTAAAATGAAAGTATGAATTAGAAAACATTGGTCTTTGAACCTTCTAAATGGAAAAGAATTTTCAAGGTTTTTTTTTTTCTTTTATATTTAAGAGTGGTATGTACATGAGTCCCTAGGGAAATACATATCAGCACCACAGTGAGATACTACTTCATACTCACTGGAATGGCTGTAATTGAAAGACAGTAACTTAACTAGGGGCGTCTAGTTAACTGAGTGGCTCAGTTGGTTAAGTATCCAACTCTTGATCTCAGCTCAGGTCATAATATCATGTTTTGTAGGTTCAAGCCCTGTGTTGGGCTCTGTGCTGATGGCACAGAGCCGACTTGGGATTCTGTCTCTCCCTCTCTGCCTCCCCCACTCGTGCACTCACATACTCTCTATCTGAAAATAATTATTTTTTTAAAAAAGACAGTAACTAGTATTGGTGAAGGTGTGGAGAAATTGTAACCTTCAGACGTTGCTAGTAGGAATATAAAATGGGACAACCTCTTTGGAAAGAAATTGTCAGTTCCTCCAAAATTTAAGCATAAAATTACTGTGTGCTCTAGCAGGTCCACCCCTAGGTTTGTAACCAAGAAAATTGAAAACTTGTCCACAGAAAAATTTGCACATGACTGTTCACAGTAGCATTATTCATAATAGTGGAAAAGTAGAAATAACCCAGATGTCCATAAGTTGATGGATGGATAAATAAAATTTGGTAGATCCTACAGTAGAGTATTATGTAGCCAGAAAAACAAATGAAGTGCCAATACATGCTACAACAGGGATGAATCTTGGAAGTATTAGGTTGAGTGAAAAAGGGCCAGATACACAAGGCTTTGTGATTATGATTTCATTCATATGAAACATCCAGAATAGGCAGATCTATAGTCAGAATGTAGATTAACAGTTGCCAGAGACTGAGGGTAGAGAAATGGACTAGCTGTGACCTGTCTCATTGTATGTCCTATATGTCCTTGACAGGCAGTATGTAATATTTTTGTTTGGCAGTTTTCTATTCCTTTTAGTTTTTTGAACCGGCTCTGAACAGAGCTCTAAAAACTTATGATTTAGGTCATTGATTTAAAAATTGTGCAGGGGTGCTTGGGGGATCTCAGTCAGTTAAGCATCTGACTTTGGTCAGGTCATATCTCCTAGTTTGTGAGTTTGAGCCCTGCGCCAGTCTCTGTGTGGACAGCTTGGAGCCTGGAGCCTGCTTCAGATTCTAGGTCTCCCTCTCTCTCTGCCCCTCCCCCACTTGTAGTCTGTCTTTCTCTCAAAAATAAACATTAAAAACAAAATTTAAAAATGGGCAGATGATTGTGTAAAGGTTTTTGCAATTAAAATTAGATGGAATCCATAAATATGAGCTGATCCACTCAGTATGATCTACAAGTCCTCTTTAGTGTATTCTTGATGTATGAATCATTAAAAATTACGCTTCCAGGGGTACCTGGCTTCATCTTGAGGTTGTGAGTTCGAACCCAAGTTGGCTGTACAGATTACTAAGAGAATTAAATACACTTAAAAAAAAAAATTAGGCCTCCCAAACCAGGAGAATCTTTGTTGACACTGGTTACATTAAATCATTTTCTTTGTTTATGTAGGTGGCAATTTTATGTCAGTTCCTCAGAGAAATTGACTACAAAACAGCCTTTAAATCATTGCAAGAACAAAACAGGTATGAATGAAATTTAAATAAAATGAAGTTGAAATTTTTCTCCTTAATAAAGAGGAAGTAACTAAAATCTGTTTTTCAGTCATGATGCGATGGACTCCTACTATGACTACATATGGGACGTTACCATTTTGGAGTACTTGACCTGTATCCTTCCATCAACATATGTGATATTAGGACAGTTCATGTCTGTAAATTTAAAAAAATACTGTAAATAAAAAATAAAGTTTAGATTTTGTTATGGTATTTAACAGTATCAGATTTGTTCTTAACTGATTTGTATAGATCTTCATCATAAAAGAGGAGAAACAGATAAAAGACAAATTGCGGTAAGTTATTTTATGCCTTCCTTCAGTGATAAGCTTAATTTCCCTGATTAAGGGAAATCATTAAGATTTGGACCCCCACCCCCGAAAAAAGATTTTGTATGCCTAGTTACTGCCAGAATATGGTTATCAGTGTTTACTTTAATATTGGATTGCATCATCTCTCTGCTCCAAACCGTTAAATGGTTTCCCATCTCTTACAATCTCAAAGTCTTTATAATGGCCTGCAAGGCTGCAGATCACCTCTATCCATCCGACTTTCTCTCTTGCTACCTTCTGCTACACGATTAGCCCTACTGTTCTTTGAATATGCTGAAACATTCACCACTTAAGGGCCTTTGAAATTTTATTTTCCAGAAACATTCTTTAACTTCCCTCAGGTCTCCTAGAATGTCATCTTAGTCCTCGGCTCAGGTTATGATCTCCCAGTTCATGAGTTTGAACCCTACATCAGTCTCTGTGCTGACAGCTTAACGCCTGGAGCCTGCTTTGGATTCTGTGTCTCCTCTCTTTCTGTCCTTCCCCTGCTCATGCACTGTCTCTCTCTCTCAAAAATAAATGAACATTTAAAAAGAAGAAATTTAAAAGTCATCTTAGTGATAATCATTTCCTGACCATGTTATAAAATAGCCATGTCTTTGTCCAGCCTTTTTTCCTCCAACTCTTTTTCTCATTTCCTTTTTGAAATTGTCCTCCATTATGCTTATTATTTGGAGTATACATCTGACATACTATGTATTTGCTAATTTATTGGCTGTTTCCCCATCAAAAACTTGGTTTTGTCATAGCTGATACCTAGAATGGTGCCTGGTACATAATAGATGCTCAGTAGTTATTGAATAGTGAGTTATTTATTTAAGTTTGACTTACAAGCCGAGGCATGATAAAATTTTTTATTTTCTTAAAAAATTTTTTATTATTTTTTTACAAATAGTTTGTCAATGATAAAATTTTTTAATGTTTGTTTATTTTAAGAGAGAGAATTCCAAGCAGGCTCCACACTGTCAGCGCAGAGCCCGATGCAGGGCTCAAACTCAAAAAACCATGAGTTCATGACTTGAGCTGAAATCAAGAGTTGGATGCTTAACCGAGTGAGCCATCCAGGCACCCCTAAAGCATTATAAATTTATGGCCAATTTTACTTGACTAATAGTTGCTACATCAGTATCACCACAGCTCATTTTTCTTGTTGCTTTCACTCATAATAACAAAATTATGTGCTATTGTGTATCTTTTAAAGCTTTCTGCTTGGACTAAGTTGTGTGGGCATTATTTGGAGGGGGTAAATAATAGTAGTTTTTTTTTTTTTAAAAAAAAACAAAAGAAAAAAGAACCTGAAGCCAGCCTACTTGATTGGAGGCAAGTCATTCTCCATTTCCAGATTATCCACAGCTGGAAGACTACTGATACTGTCATGTCTACAGTGTTATTTCCAAACCATCTCTACTTGTATCATTTCAAGCCCTTTATCCTTAAAAGTTTATACCTATCTCTTAAGTAGGTCATCTAACCAACCTACTGGTTATTCCTCCACATAGATCAAAATATATGTGGTTTATTTTCCCAGCATCCCTGTTCCTAGCTTTACAAGTTCAGTTGTTACTTTTACTTAGCATCAGCCACCCACAGCCATAGCCCTTTCTTATTGTCAGAATTGTTCTACCTAGGATCTGTCTGCCTGTAATTTATTCTTCTCTTACTTCCTGGCTCCATGTTCCTCATGATCAGTGAGATATTCAGGTTCATGACCAATTTTTCCCCGGTCTGTCAGCCCCTTCCCATCTTCCCTTCCTTCCCTACTCGCTCTGAGTACAGCAAATACCAATCTATACACTGTCAGAAGTACTGATTCCACTGTACTGAGATAAGGTCTTGGAATCCAAATTTTAAGTTTCTCAGGTAGTTCTGATGACAGACAGGTTTGGAAACCTCTGCTTATCTATGACTGTCAAAACTACCCTTTGGTCAATATTTTCAGCATCTTAGGCCACCTGGTTGGGTCAGTTGGGAGTGTGCTAATCTTGGTATCATGGGTTCAAGCCCCACATTGGGTTTAGAGATTACTTAAGTAAAACTTGAAAAAAATGCATATTCAGCTGCATTTTTGTCTTTCACTTCACCTGGAAAAATCTCAACCCTGAATCAGTTTAAAAATTTTGCTTTTTCCCCTGAGCCCCTGAGTCTGGTTGGAAAAAATCCTGCAGCCATATAAACTGTGGTGCCATTACCAAACCATGGTCTTAAATCTTAGTTCTTCTCTTTTTTTTTTTTTTTTTTTTTTTGGTCAGTCAGTAGTCTACTTTCTTTTCAGGGACTATTTTAGATATTCCCTCTGTTCAGTCCCCTGTCCTTTCTCCCTATTCCGTTACTTCTTTGTCTGTGTTTGGAATAGACCAGAAAAGACTGATCCCTTCTGTCCACATGGGAGTTGTAGTTTGGCAGTTGTAGCCTTATGATTACTAGCTTCAAATCCCTCCTTCCCACCTTTAAATTCCACTGCTGTGTTCATTGTTGAGTGTACTCTTAGTAGGAGATGGTTTTTTTTTTTTTTAAGGAAATTTATTGAGGGAGGAAAGGGTATTCGGTTTTTTTTAAAGTTATGGTATGTTAACTAAGTTGAATTTAAATGTAATATTAGTTTCAGGTATACAGTGTAGTGATTCAGCACTTCCACACATCACCTGGTACTCCTCACAAGTGCACTCCTTAATCCCCATCCTTTTCACCCATCCCTCACCCACCTTTCCTCTGGAAACCATCAGTTCTCTATAATTAAGAGTTTGTGTCTCGGTTTGCCTCTCTCTCTTTCCCTATTTTCCCTATGATCATTTGTTTCTTAAAAGCAAAACATACTATATGATTTCACATACAAGTGATATCATATGGTATTTGTCTTTTTCTGATTTATTTTACTAGGCATAATATTCTGTAGCTCCATCCACATCTTTGCAAATGGCAAGATTTCATTCTTTATGGCTGAGTAACGTTCCATTCTATTATATACACACAACCCCATGTCTCCTTTATCCATTCATCAATCAGTGGACACTGGGCTGTTTCCATAATTGGGCTATTGTAGATAATGCTGCTGTAAATATAAACATAGGAGTACATGTATCTCCCCTTTTTTTCAAAATTTTAATTAAATTCTAATTAGCATACAGTGCAATACTGGTTTCAGGAGTAGAATTCATCACATTCTACTACATTCATCACATACATACAACACCCAGCAAGTGCCGTCCTTAATAACCATCACCTACCCATCTCCTCTAGCAAACCTTTGTTTGTTATCTCTATTACTAAGATTCTCTTATGGTTGGGGCACCTGGATGTCTTAGTTGGTTAAGTGTCTGCCTCTTGCTTTTGGTTCAGATCTTGATCTTGTGGTTCATGGGATTGAGCCCTGCATCAGACTCTGTGCAGTGCTGAGCCTGCTTGGGATTCTGTCTCTTGCTCTCCGCAACCCCCCCCCCCCCATAAAGAAACTTAAAAAAAGGGAGTCTCTGAAGATTTCCTTTTTTTTTTCTTCCCCTCCCTTAATGTTCATCTGTTTTTCTTAAATTCCATGCGTGAAATCCTGTTGCATTTGTCTTTCTCTGATTTCACTGAGCATAACAGAGTTTAGCTTCATCTACGTCATTGCAGATAGTAAGATTTCATTCTTCTTGATGGCTGAATCATTATTCCATTGTGTGTGTGTGTGTGTGTGTGTGTGTACATATATATACACATACCATTATCTTCTTTATCCCTTCAGTTGATGTACATTTTGGGCCCTTTCTATATTTTAACTGTTGTTGATAATGTTCTTGATGAAGCTGAGTTTTTAGGCTTTTGAGTCCACCTCTTCAGTGACCTTCAGTTAGTTGTTTCCTCCCCTGTATTATCAGCCTCTCCCATAGCTTATAAACTACTTCATCCTTGTATCTCTACCTCCCTTGTCGCTTCGCTGCCTAGTTTTTTGAGGAATTTGACTTCTGCTGTTATCACTCTTAACTGTTCTCTCAAGCGTCACTAATACCAAAGCCAGTGGATGCTTTTCAGTCTTTATCATGTTGACATCTCACTTCTTAAAATCCTTTATTTCTTTGGCTTCCCTGACATTATTTTTACTCCCATTTTTTTCACTGACTCTTCTGCCTTTTCTTTATGGGCATCCCCCTCTGTCTACCGTTTAACCGTGGTTTCCCCAGATTTTAGTCCTTTGGTTATTTTAGATTGCCCTACATTCTCACTAGGTAATCTCATCCATTCATGGGTTTAACTACTACCCACACAGTACATTATTTCTCTCAAATCTCTGGCTTCAATTCTAATTTGTTTTATACGTTGGGCTTTTATAGCCAGTCATCTTTGTGTTATTTTATTTGTTGGAAGTAATTCTTTAGTCATATACCCTATGACTAGGTTTTTCCACATGCACTACTTCATATTGAAATGGTGTCCTCCAGCAAAACTTCCTACTCCCTGATGATCATTTCTGAATAGTCTGTCACTCTTCAGGTTACATATCAGTCTTTGTTGTTTAAAGAAGTTGTAATTGGGTTCCTTTTTAAAAAGTACTTGATTTATTTGAGAGAAAATCCCCCACACTGGCTCCACACTGTCTTGGAGCCCCATGCAGGGTTCGAACTCCTAACTGTGAGATCATGACTTGACCTGAAACCAGGAGTTGGACACTTAACCAACTGAGCCATCCAGGTGCCCCTGGGGTTTTTTTTTTTTTTTAATCTAAAGATGTAGATTGCCTTTTAATCTAAAGGTAATTCTAAGATCCTAAAACATTCTGATTTTTAGTAGGCTGAGGTATTCTAATTATGAAAGTGAACCACTCTATGCTATTACAGTGCTGAGCAACTACCTATCTTTGCACATTAAAAAAGTAAAGCCTTTCCTGAAACATGAATATTGATTTTTCAAACTGATTTGTAGGAGCCTTAATTTGTGAAAATGTGTCAGATAACATTCTGGTATTTTCAGTCGAATAAACTTACATGAATTAATGTTCCTGTAGATAGAGTAGTCCTTCCTTATTCACAGGGGATATGTTCTTTTTTAAAAAAAAATTTTTTTTTTAATGTTTTATTTCCAGGAGAGAGAGAGAGAGAGAGAGACAGCGTGAGCAGGGGAGGGTCAGAGAGAGAGGGAGTCACACACTGAAACAGGCTCCAGGCTCTGAGCTGGCAGTCGGCACAGAGCCCGACGCGGGGCTCGAACCCACGAACCGTGAGATCATGACCTAAGCGAAAGTCGGACGCTTAACCGACTAAGCCACCCAGGCGTCCCTTCACAGGGGATATGTTCTAAGACCCAGGTAGATGCCTGAAACCATGGCTAGTACTGAACCCAGTATAGATGCAGATACTTATGTAATAAAGTATGTGCTTGTAGTCTCTTTCTCACAAAATACTCCCTCTTCATGGGATGAAGTGAGGTGAATGATGTAGGCATTGTGGCATAGCATTAGGTTACTTTTGACGCTGAGACATATCAGGAGGATCATCTGCTTCTGGACCATGGTTGCCTTCAGATAAGGGGGCACCTACTGTAATTCCATAAACCCCAGTGGCTAGGCATTTGATCTTTAAGAGTGGCTGTAAGCCAGGGCGCCTGGGTGGCTTAGTCGGTTGAGCGTCCGACTTTCGCTTAGGTCATGATCTCGCGGTTCGTGGGTTCGAGCCCCGCGTCGGGCTCTGTGCTGACTGCCAGCTCAGAGCCTGGAGCCTGTTTCAGTGTGTGACTCCCTCTCTCTCTGACCCTCCCCTGCTCAGGCTGTCTCTCTCTCTCCTAGAAATAAATAAAAACATTAAAAAAAAAAAAGAGTGGCTGTAAGCCTATCTTTAATTTCTTCTACACCTCTCATTATTTACAATCGACTTTGTTAGCATGTAGGTAGTTTTGTATTATGTATTCTAGCAAGATACATAATACATTATTATGTATCTATATATTATGTGTAGTATTATGTATACTAGCAAGACTTTATTTTTGACCACACCTATAATAACATCACTTTTCTGTTTTGGAAGATCAAAGCCATCGGTCAGACAGAATTGAACGCAAGCAACCCAGAAGAAGTGTTACAGCTGGCAGCACAGAGAAGAAAAAAAAAGTTTCTCCAAGCAATGGCTAAACTTTACTTTTAAACAGTTAGTTAAAATTTTTTATTTTTCAAACAATGGGCTAAAAATAAACAGTATTATATTATATAATACATATGTACACATTTAGTGGTGTTTTCTTTTCAGACAAAATACTGAAAGTTTAAAAACAAACTATACAAAAGACTTCATACCATAACCACAGCTTAATTTATAATTTCTTCAAGAGAAGAGATTCATGTGTCCAGTAAGAGAATAAACTAGCAATCTAGTACACTTTGTTTTCTAACTAGACCTACTTTTGAGGCTGAAATTTCATTAAAAAACCTCAAATATGTAGAAGTCGCTAGTCTATACACAGCAAGTTCTTCTTTCAGGGTTTTTTTTTGTGTTTTGTTTTGTTTTAATAAATAATCTAGGAGTCCGTATACACTTACTACTTTTTCTGCCTTATGAAAATAGAAGTTTAAGCCAAATGTTAAGCTTTATCACTTTGACACTGTCCTTAACTCAGTGTAGGAATTTAAAAAGGACCTTAACAGTTTTGCAAACATAAATAAAGTCTTAGTCACACTAAATTAAGAAAAAATCCTTAGGGATATCTTGGAGTTAATAAAGTGACTTTCTCATATAAATAGGTTGAAATACCCGGTACTTTTTCACTTAAATGGTGATGTACAAAAAGTCATTATAAAGCAACCTCCGTGTCAAGGCCCAAAGTAGGAGCTAAAACATTTATCTTGTTTAAAATTTCTTTGGTATTCCCCCTGTTTAGACCACAGTTTAAACACCATGTTCATCTAAGCCTTCCTGGTTAAAAAATGAAATAAACAGATTAATGTTCACCTTTTGTAAAAATTCAAGTTTTATAATAGCTTGCTACAGCAGCTGTAGATAAATTAGTCACCTTATTACAAAACTAAATCTTTGTAAACAAGTTCTAATTTTATTTTCAAAAACCAAACTATACTAGTCAAGACTGATTATGAATTCTGAGAATCTAAAAACTAGATTCAAAGTATTACTCAATGTCCACTTTAAGGTGGCACTTATCTAGTCTAAAACTCCAATGATAACAATCTTAGTTTATCAAGATAACATAGTAACACTGGATCAAAAAAAATGTTATGGCATAAAGCGAGGCTGCTGGCTTCTATCCAGTCACCTGGGGAATGAAGTCATCTTTGTAAACAAGTCCCGCTGTTTAAACAGCTAATGTAGGAATTTCTTCCTTAATGCCAATTTTAAGTGGTTTCTTAAAATCAAAGAATGGCAGTGAAACTTCTGAATTGGCTAGGACAGTCATCGCACTATTTTCCTGAAAACTTCAGTAGTTAGTTCTAGGAAATTCTGCCAATGGTCAGTTCCAGCTTGTTTGCTTAACCTTCGTTAGTGTTTTCCTGGTGGTTTTTCAGTACTCTTCGGTGGTGTCATAATGCCTCCACTGCACACTGGTGACAACTGTCCCCCCTTTCGAAAGCTGTTTACATAATTTACTTCATCCTATACATGTGAAGAAATCATGCAGAGATGAACAGGTAAGGTAAAGCACTGATAGAGTAAATCAAAGTCAAACCAGACTTTAGGGTATTAACTTGAGACCATTAGACCTTATGTAATAGTCTGTCTTTGCAAGCATGACTAGTCCTATTCTAGAGGTGCAACAGTTAGAACCGACTATAGCTGTATTTTTTTTTTTTAAACTCGGACTACTGGCATTGATCTTGATACACTCCAGAAATCTTGCTGTGACATCAGTGCACACATTAGAACTGTCTATCTGTAACCTATCTTGTATCACTTCCCACAAGTATTTCTGTATCCTTACTATCAGTTTCAGTAACTTACTGGATAGAAAACAAAGAAGCCCCACAAGAAACATACCAGCATAGCCAGATAATTTGTATGTGTCTGGATATTGTGTCTATCTTCCATAGAAATCTTCTTAAAAATCTTCAGCTTCACAGGACTAGTACTTTTTACTACACTGGCAAAAGGCACCATCCAGTCTACACATTCAGAAATGTTGTCCCATTCTAAACCTAGATAGAGGAAAGTCAGGAAAACGTGAAGGTTACATGAGAAACTGTCTTAACATATGCTTAATGTATTGGCTTGTGCTTCCAGTTGTATAGATAATTTGAGAGCACTCATCTGGTTTAATTTCTTAGAACTGGAGTTGGGCCCTCTAATAACCATTCATAAGCTGACTGTTTTGTGGGAGAAAAATACTTAGAGCTTCTTAACCAGTACCTTCTATGTATGAAACTGAAATTGTCAAACTGCAAAGCAGAGCAATGACCATGTTGACTAACTTCAGATGGATTTAAATTCCACTGGACCTTGTTTTGCTTATGGATGTATATTGAAGATGAGAAAGGACTTCTAACAAAAGGAAGGTAATTACTAACCTAACTTTTTCCATCAAAATTTTTGACTTCTGTTTAATAGAAAGCTAAAGTTGATAAATTAATAGTCCCTTGTGAACATGTAAGAAGATAACAAAATACAGTGCCTTACCTGAGGCTTTCTTAACCACTTCAATAGAAGTAAAATGGCACAAGGCAGCGGCAGCCAGGATTCTGTACTGGAACTCTAATGAGTCAATAGCTAGAATACACAGATCTAAAAGCTAGCAAAGGAAAAAGCAAATGTACATGTAATTAGGAGGAGAAAGGATGAGTAATGAATGTTGCTACTAAATTAGTGCTCAGTCAGCTGTAATTTTAGAGTACTTACAATGTGGACCCATGTGCCAAGAATTGCTAAAACTGCAGGGATCCAAAGATAATTTCTTCAGAGTGGTGGCTCAAGCCAAGAAGTGAATTAGACCAGGATTGTTATGATGCACTGTGATGTGTAGCAGTGGAAGGGCAACTAATCAAGAGTGGGGAAGACTTGTGCTGCTTAAATCTTAAAAGACAAAGTAGCCAGGAAGATTGGGAGGTAGAGAGTATTTTAGGTGTAGAGAATAGCATTTGCAAAGGTAAATGAGAAAGTGTTACTTTCCCTTGGAACTTCTAGTTCAGAACAAAGGAATTCCTTTCCTTCATTCCTTATTTTAAAAGGGAGAGGAGTGTAGGTGGAAAGGCACAGATTAGATCATGGATTAGCCTAGATTAGATCATAAAGGCTCTAGGTAAGTTTAGTTCTGATCACCGAAATTATTGAAAGATTTTAAGTCAAGAAAGATAACATTTTAAGAATGATCCTTTAGAAATAAGTTCTTTTCTGTGTATCTACTTCGTCGTAGTGAGATTAGTTAAAAAGCAATATAATCCAGGTAATAGAGAGTATAGTAGAATGGTGTAAAAGGGCTAGATTTTAGAGGCTTAAGGTAATAATACTGTCCATGGAATACACAAATTATGTTTGCTCCCATTGTCCAGAAGATAGAAACATGAGTAGAAGAGTAAATAAATAGAAATAGTAATTATTGGCTTATCAAATTTTTGTTCGGTATCAAAAAGGTATAGCTGCCTATGATACTGGGAATTCTGAAGGAAAAAATAAGCCCTCCTTAGAAAGTTTTACAAAATGAACCAATTCTATTCAGTTTTAGTGTTCATAAGGTGTTGACTAGTTTTAAAATACAAATTAAATTTCAACCTAGGTTATTTAAAACCCAACCCAAAATATCACAGTTCCTTCAATTCCATATGTAAGATTTTCATATTCTACATAGAATTTGAACATAGATTTTCTTCACTTAAATATGGCAGTACAGCAACTTTTAAGATAAGTACGAGAAGTAGGCAGGAAAGAACATGTTGTCCTACAAAAGCATAATTTGAAATTAAATTTTTAGTAAAAGGCGAAAGATTTATGCGATCTGAAGAGAAACCAGAGCATGAAATTAAATTTTTAAAAAAATGTTATAACTAATCTTAATTCTAATGTATAAAATAGGTACACTGTATATTCAAAATGAGGATAAGAATCATACAGAATAACTTCCTATCACATTAAAGACAACTGGCTAAACACCTTTTTCCATTTTATATCAAAAAGAGATTTTAACACTCTAGTTTAAACTCCTAAAGAATGAAAAGTACTCCTACCACCTTTAAACTCAAAGTTTAAAAAGTCTGTTTTCTAGAATTAAGCAGTGTAAATATTGGGAACAGAATTTTATGCATAAGCAGTTTTGTTCTAGTCAAGTAAGGAGTGAATTTAATTCATTATGCTTTTTGGTGTATAGCTGATTTAAGACTATAAATGCACTAAACAGTTTTAACATATATGTAGTGAAAATACCTGAGCTATTTGAATGAACTTTTCCTGAGAATACTGAGGTAGAAGAACTTTAGGAGCATCTTTAAGAGCATCAACTTGGAGGAAGAGATTTAGCCAGGAGATGACGGTTACAGGACAGAGTTCCCATTTTAAAGCCTGTTAATGGGATGAAAATACCTGTTAGTAAATAGAAATATACATACACTATAATGTATAGCTAATTTACTAGTAGTCATTTAAAAGCTTTCTGCTTTCGGCTTATTTCTTCCTAGGAATTTTATTCTGACCCTTATTTTATTGAAAATATTTATAGATACTTCAAAATGTAAAGCTGCTTGTATTTTATAGTGTATTAATCTAGTTCCCTTTTTTAGTCTCTAATTATCTTAATTTAGAAAGCTCATTGAGTCTAGTATCCATTCTTCCTTTTCTCATATCTTGCAGCCCCTGGTCTTCCAAATCTATTCTCTACTTTATTGAAACTGCCATTTTAAAACTATATTCAGTGAACAAAGTGAATTCCATTCAGATCTTCCAAAAATTGATCTAGACTTTTTCTTTCCATGATCTTTGATGGCTTCCAGTCAAAATGTAAAAGTTTATCATATCTTTTCCTTCATGAAACCTTACGACTTAGACAAGCAGTCTAAAATAATTAGGGGAGAACAAGAGAGTATTACAGAGAATTCCATCTTCTCTTTACATCCTCCTCATACTGTGCTTCAGGTCTGAATCTGAGCAGATTTATTGTTAGAACAATATCAACAGGCCAGGTGATACTTTAATATCCCATTCTAATAGAGCTATCAATATGAATGTTTACAGACTAAATACTTTATTTTAAATATTAATATTTATAATTTAGAAAACAAATTTA